GTTGATCCATTTGTTTTTTCCATTTAAAGGCTAGTTCCACACGTAGCCTAAATTAAAAGGCCTCTCAACCAGGCCAGCATAATAACATTTGAATTTTTTGCCCTGGAAGAATATATAAAGACTAATAGCATAATTTTAGCTGCAGCCTATTCCCAGTTTTTAACCATCTAAATCACCATCAGCTATCCCTCACTAAAACAGAGATAAATAACTCTGGGGTGGACTCTTTGTTCAGGTCCTTATCCTTATAGACAGATTCTGGACAATAATTAAAAATGTAATAGTCTTCTACACATCAGACTAATCACAGTGCGTGTGTCTTTGTGTGTGTCTTTGTGTGTTTGTGTTGGATACATTACTGCAGGATGCCATTAGGAGGAGGAAACAAGTGTGGCCGCTGTCAGAAGACAGTTTACTTTGCAGAGGAGGTACTCTGTGATGGGCGGAGCTTCCACAGGTCCTGCTTCCTGTGCAGTGAGTAAACTCTTTGCTGCTTCCTGTGATTGTCAGTGAGGAAACCGCTAAACTTCTTACACTTGTCATTACAGTCACAATTAATACTAAACTAATGTGGACTGTTGCTCATATATTCCTCAAGAAAACCCCCAGAAGAATGATAACTTACCTACACTTACAGTTAATTGTATTTTTTTTTCTGCATCTTAAAAGACATACACACATACCCATTGAATTAAAAAATTCTAATGCAACTACATAAATATACAAAATTAATACAGTTAAAAGAAATTTATTAAAATCCATAAAACAAACAAACTTTCTCTTTGCCTCAACTTAAAAAAATGTGTAGGTTCATGGAGTTCTGACTGAAGTTATTTGTTTTGCTGCGTCGTAATCAAACATTCCAGTGATGGAATTTAGATGAGAACATGTCTCTTTGGGAGAACTGTTCCATAAAAGGAAACAGTTAAGCTTATTTCAAAACATGAATGAGCTCAAAAACATGTCCACAAATATGCAAAACAAGGGTGTGTGTTTGTGTTTGTGTGTGCGTGCATGCATGTGTCTGTCTTTGTAGTGGTGTGTGGGAAGAACTTGGACAGCACAACTGTTGCTGTTCATATGGATGAAATCTACTGCAAGGCATGCTACGGAAAGAAATACGGGCCAAAAGGCTACGGTTATGGCCAGGGTGCAGGGACCCTGAGCATGGACAAGGGAGAGTCTCTGGGTATAACACATGAAGAGTGAGCAACACACACACACACACACACACACACACACACACACACACACTTCTTGATATCTTTTGTATGCCCTTTATCCATGTTTATGTTCTCTCTCTCTCTCTCTCTCTCTCTCTCCATCAGTCCCGCTCCTCATCGCCCTACCACCAACTCAAACCCATCCAAGATGGCTCAGAAGTTTGGAGGCTCAGACAAGTGCCCTCGCTGTGGCAAGCCTGTCTACGCTGCGGAGAAAGTGATTGGAGCTGGAAGTGTAAGGACAAACACACTCATGCACGCACAAGCATGCAAAAATGAGCCCGTTTTAAAATGGATCTTCTATTTATTTGCAGTCATGGCATAAGATTGGATGTTTCACCTGTGCCACATGTGGGAAGAGCCTCGAGTCAACCACACTAGCTGATAAAGACGGTGAAATCTACTGCAAAGGTAAAACTTCACTGTCTTCACCTCCTGTATAAGAATGACTGCAAATAAAATCATAGTATTGCTATGCAAGTACAAGGACACCATGTCTCTGATACTGAATAAGCATTCTTCAACACATACTTGACCTTTTCTTATCAGACTACTGCCATGGGTTGATGTCAAGCTGTTGACTTGCACTGTTGTGCAAATGCAAGTTTAACACTGTAGATGAAAAGGTTTTGTAGTTTTACTGGGTTTGTTTTCTGACTTTGGTCTTTTAATGGAACTGTAATAACATTCACATACAACAATGTTCGCACTCTGAAGTTATGGTTGAGAGCTGCAGCCAATAATCTATCTATTGTGAGGGACTTTACAACCTTTGGTAGCTTTACTTTACTGACTGTTTTCAATGAGGGTCCAGAGTGCTGAAGCCAGGGGGGATGACCCATGTTCATCCATTCAGGCTGCATTAGTCTGAAAAAGAAGTGATATAGGTGATGCACACATCAGTAGTTTGACTACTAAAAGAGCAAGATTGGATGCAATACTAAAACCTCCAGGCAACAGACATTTTGGTCAGAAAATGAACTGCTATGTTTTGTTAGTAGCTTGTGAGTGGATGACTGGATTGTAATAAACACAACAATACAGCAGAGGGCCCACTAACACAGAAAAATATCCTCAAGAACCCAATAACAATATAAGTATCAAAATACAGCTCAAAAGCTTGTTATACTCCGTCCTTAAAATTAAAGATTTTGTGTATATTGAATTGAGAACATACTGATCATTTTGGCTTGGCACAACAAACAATTAACTCAAAAATGGTGTATATTAATTAATTGATATTCACATCACATTTTTGTGAGTACTTACCAGCCTTATATATACCATTAATTCCTATTAATAAAATTCATTTATTCATTAATTGGCACAAATGGATTTCTGAACAGATCTACTGGGCACAGTGGGGTCTGGGGGCGCCTGGGCCACAGCCTCTTTAGATTTTGTTATAAAGACACAGAACTTAGTTAAGACAACAAAGACAGGCAAAACTATCCCAGAGACAAAACAACCACTTACACAAAAGACACACAAAACGACTGCAAAGAGGCGCAACACAACTACAAGATGCAAAATGACAACAAAGAGACACAAAACGACAACAAAGAGATGCAAAACAACAACAATGTGACACAAACCAACTACAAAGAAATGCAAAACAACAACAAAGCGACACAAAACTACAAAGAAATACAAAACAACCACAAAGAAGCACAAAACACTTCACAGCTGAGTATGTAACTAATCCTAATCCTCAAACACTCTTCTGTATGATAAAAAGATTTACCTGTTGCAATCCTTCATGTAAATAAATAGCCTAGCTAACATTAGCAACATTATTTAAGCCCCGGTTTGTGCCTCTTATACATCAACATTATCATGGTTAGAAAAGTTTCGTGTTTACCTGCTGTGGATATTGAAGACGACGCTAAAGTTAGCTTATGACTCGTAGCATCTGATTCGACAGTTCAGGTAAACTTAACCCATGATACTGAGCGATAGATTCACCGTTTATCGCAGCGCTTATTGTTGTGAGAGGACTTTCAGATAACCCCCCTCTCAGATAATCCTTATTTTATTTGTGAAAGCATAAAAAACATCCAATCTGGACGAAACGTTTTTGTGTTTTCAACAGACTGAACCAAGCATTATTTGCTGATGGCCAAATGGGGCTAATTAAATGGGGCTAGCTGGTTCTAACTCATGATGTGAAATATATGACAAGACATGATGTTGATTCCGAAGTGTGGCGCCCTCTGACATTACCTCTCTGTCTTTCAGGGTGTTATGGCAAAAACTTTGGTCCCAAGGGATTTGGATACGGATTGGGCGCCGGGGCGCTGGCGCACACGCAGTAGAGCCCGCTAGTTTCCACAGCACTGCGGTACAATCTTCTTCCTGCAGAGGGCAGATTGCTGCCAGTAAACATGTAGGCTACTTGACACACGCTTGATTAAAAAGCTGCTTAATAAACTGTACAATAGAAAAGATGCCACCATCTTAGTCGCATACAAGTAAAAGGTGTTTAATTGTGCTTTTATATTAATCTTGACCCATACACCACACTTAATACTGAGGTATCTATCTATTTAGAGCTGCATTGGTGATTTGCGCTATCTTCTCTAACCGAAATGTATCATCCTCTTACTCTCTTGTCAGGTTGTTTTTCTTTCTCCAAACAAAATCTCGGTATCACAAGATTCACAACATGTTGCCTGTTTTTATGTTATGCCTTCCAAACAGCATGATAATAAATAAAATGGAAAAAAATAATGATTTTGGTGCCAGTTTTTTCTTAATTGGTGCAAACTTACATAAGAACATATGAGTGAAACTATATATCTTTAAAGAACGCGGAAGTAATGTAGTTTAGAGGGCGATGTTGTGTGTGTTTCAGTTTCTAGAAATGACACGTGTTCATTCCATTCCTCACATAACACCACAGTGACACATCATGCTGCTGGGACTGCATAAGGTAAATCTAGCATCTTGTAAGAGTGAGGGAATTACCACTTCACTCCACCCACAGAGCTCATCTGTCACATTAAAGCCATGTTACCATGAAGGATGTGAAAAAAAAGAATTTGCCATCGATTTGTAATCGTTAACCTTTCCTTCATACAGCACGGGGAAATGAAACCTTAGAGGAATAAAAGTTTGGTATGAAAATGTGGACATTTTCTCCACTTAATTTTACTTTTACCATCCTTAAGTTAAGTTGCCTTTCAGCATTTTCAGACACACCCACTATTATTTCAGGGTATGTTAATGTTGTTTCCATATAGGCAACAATTGGAAATGTCTGTCCCCAGCAGTTCCTTACTGACACATTAAACCAATTAAAGGTAACGATCAATAATTGACTGATTAATTATCATTCTATATGCTCAGTAAAAGCATGTCTTCCTTGCATTTTGTTTCTCTCTCACAGTCAAACATTACAACATTTGACTTCTTATCCACCCTTATCCTCCCACACACATTCCAGCTCTCAAACAGAGACAGGAGAAAGCTGCTTGTCATAAACACTCCTTGGAGCTAAAAGTGATTTAACTAACTTATTTCTTTAAGTTTAGTCATAGTGACAGGTGCGAGCTTGTGTGGTTGGCAGCTTTTTCTGGGCAGGTGCCCCGAGACATAAGGGGGAAGTGGGTAACCCCACCGACCTGTATTTCAGTTAACACATAAACACCACACAGAGTGCTGTAAAACACACGCGCGCGCACGCGTACGGAATTTCATAGACAGCCCGGATCTCCTGCTGTCGTCACCGGGAGGAGGCGGTGTGGTTCCAGTTTGTGGGGGGAAAAGGTCCACAGAGGAGCCGGGCATGTTCAAACATATCCACGCAGACCAGCCTACCAAGCTCCACGGTGCGCTGTCATTGCGCACGGATTGGATCTATTCACTGACAGTTTTTGTGTAGGCTGCCATTACAAATGCTGTAGCTTCAAACTGATATATTTTTTACCTGGTGGACTTTTAACACTGATAACACATGAGATATTTAATTGATTCATCCTGAGGCACACCACTGCTGGACACTTCCTAAGTTTGGGCTCTGTCTGAGGACTGTGGCTCAGCGTGGCCATGTCTCTCCCGGTGAAAGTGATGAGAGACGGGAGGCTGGAGAAGCGCAGCAGCGGGCTCCTCCAGCTGTGGAAGAAAAAGCGCTGCGTGCTCACCGAGGAAGGACTGCGCCTGCACAACTGCAAAGGCGGCGGCGGCGACGGTGATGCTCCGGGCTTGGCGTGGAACTCCAAAGCCAAGGAGCTCCGCTTCGAGCGCATGGTCACGGTGGACTGTGTGGAGTACAAGCGGGGGCTGGTGTATTTCACCGTGGTCATGGCTACGGGGAAGGAAATTGATTTTCGGTGTCCGCAGGAAGGCACGGCGTGGAACGCGGAGATTGCCTTGGCACTGGTGCGCTATAAGAACCTGCAGGCCATTCAGACCGGGAGGAACCGACACCTGTCCACAGCACACCTGGGCAGCACAGGGGAGGATGTGGAGCTCTGAGGTAAGGGAAGGTGAAAGGTGAAATACACTGGGTTTGTCATAGACTTTAAGATTAAGATTTCTCTTCCATTTAGTTAGTGCTGTATGAAGGCTTAAATGTTATTAATTTTTGGTAATTGGAGATTGAATGTAACACCACACCCTCCAGTAGCTGGAATATCTCATGTTCTTTCTCAGTACCAACTTTGAGACTGGCTGTCAAACTCATGTCAAAGCATCACTGAAAACCCTGAAGGTCAAAGGTAAAATTGTCCCCACTTCCTTCCAGAGGTTTTCAACCATTTGCCATCAAAGACTCAAAGGCTCCAAATAGTGCAGCAGTGATAATCTCCTCCTCTATGGTAGAAGGGGTGCTAATAGCTGAAACAAGTTGGTGCAGTGATTGGATGGAATGAAAACATCCAGACTCTTGGGGATGAGGCGGCACATGGCTGAGAAGCGCCCAAGCCTCGGGTTACAATCATGCTAAAGGTTATTTACAAGTTGCACTTCAGTGTTTAGATGTTCCACTGTGGATTCAAAGTCATGTCAATGTTTCCTTACCACGGTCATCATCATCTGCCTTGACTGCACCACAGTCTTCTTACCACACAAACCCACTCTCACTTGAGGACATAATTACGATGCAATGTGAGCCTCCAAAATAACATCTGCCCGCCTCTCCCTCGCTAGGCAGCCAAGTATTTTTAAACACACACACACACACACATGCACGCACACACACACAGCCATCTCTTATGTATTTAACTGACATGAAGACGATTGAGCACGCGGTGTGAACAGGGCCAAGGGCCCATGTATCTTTTCAGCTTCTCAATATTTAGGCTGCTGTCATACGACGACAGTGTCATGTGCTGAAAGTGTTAGCTGAAATCTCAAATGTTCATGTACCGAGTGTGTAAGTTTGAACTATGAGCTCACAGTCCAGGAATCCACGCCGATGCTTCCTTAAGAGAGCTGCAGTAGTCAAGTGCCCAAATTAACTTAGTAGCCGTGGTAACAGTTTGATATAACTCACTACAAATGCACTTTGTCGTGACACCATCGGCTGCCATTAGTGTCCAACATATAAAGTAACAACTGAATATTAAAAATCTTTCCTTTCTTCCTCAGGCTTTTCTATTTTCCCGGGAGTGAACCAGTCAGAGTGGTGAGGGGTAGAAGACGCCAGATCCACCGGCTTGATTCTGTGGTGCACAGCATGATGGGATATACAGAACGGCCAACAGCTATTACGGATTAATGGACTGAGAACAAGTGCTGCAGACACTCTTGTATTCCTATGAGCTTAATCACACTGTCACACAAAGCATAGGAACCTGAAGTACTGTAAGCATGGATGTGTTTTTTTTCTGCCATTGCCTGACAGAAAGGAGATCACTGCATAAGGAAAAGATCCCTTTTGGACAGAAACTATGGAGCCGGGACACTGTTTACACCTGTAACTTGTGCCTGAAACAGGAGTCATTTTGTTTCTTCAGTCTTACTTTTGATGGAAACTCATCGCCAGTTGACTGGCTTTGAAAACTTTTGTTATAGACTGAATAGATTTGCATGTTTTTTTTTAAAGCTGAACATGAAGAATAAGTATTTTGCTCATATTATTATATTCTATATATTTGCTGCAACCGTGTACAGTATTACATGCTCAAAAATATAAAATAAATCTTTTCAGTAATCACAAAGTACTGATATTTTTCACTTGAGTTCATATTTCTGTACAAAGCTTCATTACTCATATATGTCTTAGTGCAAAACAGTCAGTTGCAGTTTATCTTAGGTTCAGAGCATTAATTGCTAAGTTTGCCTGTTTGCAGTTGTGGTGTAACCTTGCTGTTATAGCCTCTGGAAAATACACACACCCCAGACACATAGACACACGCACTGTGGCCAGGACACCTTTTGTTCTGAGCAGTATGGAGGACTAATGAGAAGCTCAGTGAGCCTGAGGCATACCAACATCCACCCACACATATTCACCTACAGGAGCTTATGTGCACACCCAGCACGAAATTCAGCAAGGCCTCTGCATCAGCAGACACTCGTTAGTGAGGAATAGCATATATTGTGCATTCAAGCTTGTTTTGTGTGTGTGTGTGTCAAGAATATAGCAGTCTGTGTACGAGCTGTGTGTGGTTGTGGAGCTCAGTGCAGGTCAGGGATAAAGGGCTGATTGTGTAGCAACTTCTCTCGTTTCTCTGGAAAACCCCAAAGCCAGCCACACCGCATGAGTCAGCAAGGGACCAGGAGTGCTGCAAGGAGCAGAGGCACCCAGTGATGGATCACAAGAAATGTGTGTGTGCGTGTGCAGGCAGGTGTGTAGGAGATCTATGTGTGTATGTGTGTGTTTGTGTTTGCGTTTGTGTGTGTGTGTGTGTGTGTGTGTGTGTGCGCGCACATGCTCGTTTGTGGTTACACTCAGTGTGTCCTAAAAATCCATTCCTTCAGAGTGTGTGTGCTCACACTACTCAGTGAAATGCCCTGTCTAAACATCATAACCTCTGTCCAGGGCATCTGGTTTTCTCAGCAGATAAACACACACCTGCAATTTCATAAACCAAATGCCAGAACACAGGCCAATCTAGAGCTGAGTGAATGTTTGTCGGAACAGGATTGTTTGCCTTATTTTTCACACATATGTTATTGCAAATGGGACAGCTGCTTATTAGTGCTTGCAGAAAGAGAAAATGTGTCTGCATACTTTTTGACCAAGATTACGCCTCAAAATGTTTTTCAAATGACATTCTTCTTCTCAGGCTTCAGTAAATTGAGCTTCTGTCTGCTACGTGAGTGTTTAACCACTAGAGGTCTGTCTCTCTCTTGTTAAGTGGAGAGAACTTCTAAACACACTGACAGTTCGCTGTGTTTGTGTGTGTGTGTGTGTGTGAGAGAGACTTCTCAGTGGTTTGCACGTCAAGCCTTTTTGGCAAGTCTTCATGTGGTGCAGGCTTCTATGTTGTTTTTATCATTAGCATGTGTGTGTGTGTCTGTGTTTCATACCACTGTCATATACATTACTCCCTCCCAACGACATATAAACTTGAAATACCATATCAATGTGAAATGTTTCTTCTTGGATCTTAATATGTTAGACCGATGGTTCCCAACCTGTGGGCCGGGGTTAACAGACAGTACCCTTAAGTTACATGTTGTCTGTCAAGAGGGTTTGTCAGGGAGGCTTAATACGAGACAAAATTTTCCCAAGGGCCTCCCTGAAAGACAAGCATGTCTTGCATCTTGATCTGCCCTTTGAGATTTAGGTGTGGGTAAACAAGAATCTACAGTCATGCTAGCAGCTCTGTAAGCTTAGCCACAGCAATGCTTTGAGCTAAATGCTAATTTCAGCATGCTAATATGCTCAAAAGTTAATGTTAACATGCTGATGTTTTACATGTACTGTTAACCATTGTAGTTTAGCATGTTAGCATGCTAATATTTGATAAATGGCAATTAACACAAAGTAGAGGGCTGATTGGGATGTCGTTAGTTTTGCAGGGTATTTGGTTGTAAACAAAAGTGAATTTTTGAACTGATGATGTTACTAGAGGAAAAGTCAACTGATCATCAAAGTCTTTTGGATGAATCATTTGGGAACCATTAATGTATGTACAAATTTAGTGGCTATCCATTCATTAAGTTTTGAAATATTTCACTGGATAACTAAAAACTTTGCCCTGCTGCTGGTGCAGAAGGAAAAGTCAGGGGATCACTAAAATCAGTACAATTAGGCCTAATCTTCTGGGGACCATGCATGTTTGTAAAAAAAAAAAATGTTATTGCAATGCATCCAAAGGTTGTTCAAATGTATCAGTGTGGACCAAAATGATGAACTGATGGACAAAAGTTGCCATGTTGCCAGTGTGGATAACAAAAACTGTATAACATCCCCCTCTCTGACAATCTTTGAGCAGTAGGGACATACAAACTCCTGCCTGTAGTTCATCATCTGAGTTGCTTTCATCCTCCTGCGCTGTGCAAGGTCAAAGCTTCAGGCTCTTGCTGCTGGTCTCTGGTTTATAATGAGTCTGTGAGAGACGAATGGACAGAGCAAGATTAGACAGTTAGAGAGATGGGCTTGACTAATAATAGCCTCCACTAACAAAAGGGAAAGAGGGAGCGAGACAATGGGTGGTGCAGTTAAATAGAGGGGCACCGCATCGTTGGCCTCATCTCTGATCTGTCCATCCTGCCTCTGCCGCTGTCGCATCTCTCTCTCTCTCTCCTGCTTCTGACACTGGTAAGGTCCCTTCATGTTGTTGTTTATAAAGCTTTTCAGGTGTAGTCTTTGTCCTTCTGTGCATATACCGATGACAAACTGAATGGATGACGATTTGTGTGGTGCAGCCATTTTTTTGTTGAAAATTTGACTTTAATTAGATTTTCAAACAACAACGGTTCACGTAGTGGAAATGGTGCATTCAAACAGATCTGGCAGAACAGCAGGTTTTATGTGTTTGAGGGGGATCAGTGTGCAGTATACGATTACAATCCAGTAAACAAGGACATTAATAGAGATGTAGAGAGCTATAAAGTTCTTTAAAGAAATCATATTAGTGGGCATGATTTCACCCATGGGGCTGTAACTGTACCTAAACAATAATTGCATTAACCAGAACACTGTAATTACCTGAAATAACATGAACTAGTTGGTTGAAATCTGTAGCCAAAGCAGCTCAAATCCGAGGCGGACGTGAACTTTCCAAAACACCTTCGGCTGTTTTTTGCATTGCCAAGTTGGCTGCACCACAGAGGCTCATAAGCATCCATGCGTTACTGGCGGCAAATCCTTGATCCAGGCTGGGCACCCCAGAGCACAATCAGCCTCCACAGCTGTCCATCAGATGTCCCCTGGTCTATTTGGGGAGACAGGCCACTCTAAATTCTTCTCCCTGAGATAATCCCAAGGAGAAAGATGGGGATGAGAGATGGATGACGGATGGCTATCAGCCTGGAATTTTCCTAATCCGCTGAGGCAGTTAGTAAACCCGTCATACTAGGAGGTCTTAGGTGACATCATTAAATGGGAGAGGGGTATAAACAGAGAAAGGGTGAGATAAGGTGAGACAGAGAAGTGCTGTTAATTGCTTGATGATTTGATAAAGGGCAGAAGGGCATGAGACTGAGGGAGAGGAGGGGTAAGATAACTATGCTATAACTGACAAGTGACTGAAAATACATACACCGCATGCCCTGTTATATGTGTCACACTTTTCATGATATTTCACATTTGGTAAACAATATAACCCAAGTAAAATTTCTTTCCAAGGTCAGTGAGGTATATGAGAATCTTTTGAAAAACTGCAACACTGACTGCTATGAAGATCTGCTGCTGCTGAGTTTCTTTAATATACATTTTTGACGCACCGCAAACAACATTCCATTCACCTCTATTACATGGGGTGGATACAAGTCACAACAGCCAGTCAGCGTATCCTTTCATAGTCACCACCATTCATCCTCACTTTTGCCCAACTATTTCAACTATTTAGTTCAGCCATTTATGCATTACTTTGAGATAACGTTAAAACATTACTTTTAACTTAATGATTTTAACCATTTATTTAATATGCTTAGTTAAGTATTTACAACTGTTTACCCATTCATTTTAGCTTTATATTTCAACCACTTATCCATACTTTCAGATATCTTTTTTAGCCATCTTAGCCAACCTTTAGCTAAAAGCTAACTGTTTCAACTTTACTATATGAATTACTTTAACTTTTTTAACCATTTACTCTTAGCTATCTATTTCACTCATGTATCCACTGCTTTTAGCAAAGTCTTTGAACTGTTTATCCATATTTTTAGTTAACTATTGAAATGCTTCTGCTTGCTTGCCAACTTGTTTTCTTGTATGCCTTGTAAAGTATGACAATCAAGTGTCGAGACAGTGTTAAGCAGCAAGAGGGTAGAAGTCAGTGTGAAGAGTTTTCTATGACTGGCTGGTTTACATATGTTGAAACTGACTCCACGTTCTGAGAGGGCGCTCATAGAGAAGAGTGGAAAGATGATCTGGCCCCCCAAAAGCTGACGAACAAACACTGACAACTGTTCGTTGTGTGTGTGTGTGTGTGTGTGTGTGTGTGTGTGTGTGTGTGTGTGGAGTATTTGTTTCTAATCTCTTCTGTCTCTCTTCCAGTGAGATCTAATCAGCAGGATGCCTGAGCATGTGTGAGTGATCAGGCTTTGTGTTCTTATTATAGATCATTTACTCATTCACACACATAAACACACTTATAAAAGTTATGTTTTGGCTTTTTAGACATTATCTCTAAACTTTTGTCTTTCCTCCTTTAACAGCCAAGAGGTAAGTCCAGTTTATCATTGACCTTTGAGGAACATTCTTTTATTGCCAAAAATATTCAGGTAATATGTTGTTTAAACTTTGAAGTGAACGACTAACATTTTAACTGTGTTGGCAATGTCCTTAATTGTGTCCTCCATCCAGAGGAAACCAAAGATCTCAGCTTCAAGGAAGCTGATGCTCAAGGTAAGAGAGCTTTTACATTTTTTGTAATACACATGTTTAACCACAGGAGAGCAGCAGAGGTCACGCTCTTTCTAGCTGCTACGTGTCCCCTGATTTTCAGTTAATCCTGAACACCCAGAGTATGTACTGTATGGCCTGGATGTTCCACATTGTATCTAAAATCTGCTTCAGAAAAGCATACAGTAATATATTATCATATTACATGTTGATTTACATATGTGCAGAGTCTGATGGTGGCAAAGGCCAAGGAGGAATTGGAGCAGGAGATCCTTGATAAAGAGGAGGAGAAACACAGGTATCTGGCAGAGAGAGCTCCTCCTCTAAACACCAGCGCTCTGAGCCTTGGACAGCTACAGGTAACGTCCTCAAATAATACCCAGGATTCTCCCATTCTTCTCTCCGCTCACTTCCTGGTAATTCAAAACCAGTAAAAGCCGCGAAAGAAGCTGCATCTTTCATAAAACTTGAGGCAGTTCAAGCAGAAAACAATGTGGATCTTTTCAAGAACTCACATTTCACATTTCTCTCTTCCTTGCCTTTGTCTAAATATTTTTTTTCTAATTCAGTCAAGTCTCAATTCAAGTCACTCAAATGAAAGGAATCCAAGGCATTATAATCTATAGGATTAATAATAATCTAAAAACGGACACTTTCCCAAATACATGAATTTGACATTACTCCTGAAATCAGCTGAATCAGTGATTCCAAAACTATCACCGTCATAACATACATACAGTATTTATCACTTTGCTGTGTCTCATGCATTCACATGTACAGGATCTCTGCAGAGAGCTCCATGCCAAAATAGATGTGGTGGATGAGGAGCGATATGACATTGAAGCCAAAGTTATGCTCAACACACGTGAGGTGGGTATATGATATTTTCCCACCCACAGTTTCCCTGTGCTCTGGATAGAACTCGGCATGCAAACATCTTAATTAATGTGACATCATATAAAGCCCTACTTTTAGGATGCAGAACTTTCACAAATTATAACAGTTCTTTGTCCCTGGCCCAGATTAAAGATCTGAACATCAAGGTGTTGGATCTCAGGGGGAAATTCAAGAGGCCCAATCTTCGACGTGTTCGTGTGTCTGCTGACGCCATCCTCCGTTCATTGCTGGGCTCCAAGCACAAAGTCTCCATGGACCTCCGAGCCAACCTCAAATCTGTCAAGAAAGAGGACACTGAGAAGGTTTGTGCGGAAGTAAAACACAGCACACACACGCACGCATGCACGCACGCATGCACACACACAAAGAGCAAAAACAAGCTGTGCAGCATCCTAAGGGCAAGTGTGCAAGGTAACTGTTTCAGGTACACACATGACATCATCACTTAAAGCACCACGGAGCACCTGTGTTTGTGTGTGTTTGTGTGTGTGTGTGCATGTGTGTGTGTGTGTGTTTGAAAGGTGTGTTTGAGGTATCGAGCAGCAGGCCAATACAGGGCGGTGACCGTGTGTGTGTGTGTGTGTGTGTGTGTGTATGTGTGTGTGACCCGTACACAAAACAATGTTCCCATTGTACACTGAAAAGGAGCTTTTGTGACCGGTTCTGCTCACTGGTCAAAGTGTGTGTGTGTGTGTGTGTGGTGGTAGTGGCGGTGGAGGGATGGGGTGGGGGGGGTACGTGTGCAGATTAGCAGAAGCTGCTGTGTATCTGTGTGTGTGCTTGCATAGATGTGTGTGTCTTTGGGTGAACTAGTTACACAAGTATGGTATTCTTACAGGGATTTCCCACTTGACAGCACAGGTCTCAAAGGCTTAGCTACAACAAGAACTTCTGAACCTGCTCTACTTCAGTCTCTTTAAACAAAGACTGTTCTCAGCCTATAAACCATCCCTAACACCACCTGTCCATCCACTGTATCTCTCTGCAGAAGAGGCCGGTAGAAGACAGCGACTGGAGGAAGAATGTGGAGGCCATGTCAGGGATGGAGGGAAGGAAGAAAATGTTCGACGCTGCTAAGGGTCCTGCCCAGTGAACACAGAAGGAGGACTGGTGTCACGTGAGCGCCATCACTCCTGCTGCATCTCAGTTGGTTTTGTTACAGTTTTTTGCAGTGTCTGGATTTCTGTCTCATGCTGTCATCCTTCCTTATGCTCCTGCCATGGAGGTGAGAAGATGTCCCCACACTCCTGAAAGGTTTTCTCCTCTTCTGTTTGCTGTTCTTTGTTAAGGTGTTAAAAATGACTATATCTATGTACCATGTACACTTATTGTTCTCACAACTGATCTTTTTAGGCCCCTTATGTTTGCAGAAAATGTTGAAATGTGCAGCTCATATCTCCAACACACAAATGTGGATAGTATGGTGACTTAATCAGCAGGTCTAATGTAATCATGGGTTGTTGTTTTATGAACTGTAAAAAAAAACGTAATAATGTGCACTTCATCAGCTGTGTTTACATGAAAACTGACGCAACAATAAAACACACACATCTAATTTCTTTGTGCTTTTTTTCTGTGCAAACGTGTGCTCAAGAAACAACAGCTACAGTTAAGTAAAAGAAAAAAAAACTGGGAATCCTCATTACATAAAGGTAACAGTCTTCTTATTATAGCTGTCTTCCCTTTGTAGTAGTGCAAGCTTCATATGTTAAAGGTGCAGCACAGATATAAATGTCACACTTTATAGATTAAGGTGATATAGGCAGAATTCTGGCACATACACGGATAATCTTGCCAGCTGTTTGCCACTACTTGGACACATGGCCCAGATTTGCGCTTTGTGGGAACTGTCGTGTTTCTCTCTATAATAAAGTAAGGTCTCTTCCCTGTAAAGTGCCTTGACATAATATATATCATGATTTGCCACTAAACAAATACAATTGAATTGAATTGAATTCAACTAAACTGAATTTGGAAATAGCATTTAAAATGATGCTGTATATTAGCTGGACTCGGGCCGAGGACCAAGATATACGTTGGGCCAGAAGAAACAAAAATGTGTGAGTAATTTCCCTTGACAAAAGAACTAAGCTCTGAATCGAATAGGATTTTTAAATGTCCAGTCTGGGGTCAACAGAAACTTTGCTCTGTCACAGCCACACTACAAACAGTGGTTCCCAATCTGTGGGCTGGGGCGAATATAATAGAAAATTTTAAAATAAGTAATGGTTTTGAATGTTTTGAAAATAAACATCTTTAAAAAACATTTGTGTTGGAAAAATGAAGCCAGACCATGTTGTAGACTTTCTATTTGAGTCTGAGTCAATCCTGAATGTTCAATCGTTATCATTAAAATAAAAAGTGCTCTGAGAATGTATTATTTGGCCTCCTTATTGTAACAGAGTTGGATGTGGGCCACATTTTTGAGGTTGGAAAGGTTGGGAACCACTGCCTCAGAAAAATCACAGCTACACAGCTTCCTGTGTTTTGGGCCATGCTAAGCAGCATTGCTCTGAGGATGACAATGTTGGTTTGTCAGTTAAGTCTAAAATATTTCAACAACTATTGGATGAATTGTGATTTATTTTTTTCATCTGCCAGGAACAGCTCAAACCTTTAATTTGTCTAATACTTTATTTACTGGCATCAGTCTCAGCTCTACTTTGTGTTCAGTGTTAATTTGCAACCGTTAGCGTGCTAACCTGCTAAACTGAGATGGTGAACATGGTAAACATCACAACTGCTAACAAAATGCAAACATTGTTCTTGTTCAGAGCAGCACATACAGCGTACAGCTGTAGATTGTTGTTTTATATTAGAGGAATGTATTAACTAAAAGAAATGTACCTGTCACATAGAGGCACTTCTGCATCGGAGCTTACACCATGCACATTTCTGCTGATACGGCCATGTCCGCCAGCTGTCCACAGCTGTAAAACAGTCCTCTGAAGTCTTCCGCAGACTGTTTTGCATGCTCATAAAGCACGCTCTAAAAAGTGTTTCTTTATCGCCTTATCCCAGTGGATGCAAAGAACCTGAATTTTTCCCTCGTGGGGGGGGGGTCTGTTTCACTTCCATTTATGTGGTCAGGTCTTCCTTGAAAATGTAACGTTAATTTTAGTTTTCAAGGCACAGTAACACATGAGGGCACACGCTGATACAAATGCACACAGAGAGACAAAGTTCTGTTTCGGTGCCTCAAATGAACCTGTACTGATGCATTCATTGCTTCTTTGGCCAGGGAGTGACAAGCAAATTGGTTCCATAAGATAGCATCTTAATGGTACAGCCAGTCCTCTCCAAATATGAGTGGAGCAGGCTCATGTTTGCAAAGAAGGAAAAACCAAGTGCTTTGCTTTATCACTTATCATGATAGTAGCTCACTGTTTTTTGATGCCTCATGGTCTCCACAGAATACAGCAGGTACAGGTGTGGTATAAAGCCAGGTGAAGTGGAGGGTGTGTGTGGGTGTGGGTGTGGATGTGTGTGTGTGTGTGTGTGTGTGTGTATTGGACTGATCTGAGTCTGGGTCAGAGTCCTGCACACTGGGCTCTGGGGAAAAGGTGTGGCTTCACATAGCAAAGCAAACAGTCTGACTCACACTGCAAAGAGACTCGCTGCCCAATGCAACAATGCAACAAAACCCCGGCTAGACATGCATTAAAACATTGTTTCATACTTTTCTGTTTATTATTGGTCGATCCAATTCTTTAACTAACTTCAACTTTATTTAAACATTTATTTGCTGTCATGTTTTGTGTATATTAGCTGTTGCTATATACATGCTATTTCATTGTGCCTGTTATAATATCAGGTCATGTAAACTGGCTTTACAGAAGTGACTATCACAGCTATCACAACTGCCACACTTCCACCATACAAGGAGAAGCTCTCTTTCTCTCTCTCTCTCCCTCCCTCTCTCTCTCTCCCTCCCTCCTTCCCCCTATCTCTCAGGTGGGTAGCTTACCTTTGTGGTCATGTGACACCGTCAGGGTAAAGGTGGACTGCTTTGTGTCGTACTGACTGTTATTTGACTGCCTCCCTCAGAGTGCCAGTCAGTCCACTTGTTCCTGTCTGTGAGTGAAGTGAACCTGGAAACTTAATTTATTCTATTCCGTTTGGTCCAACATGTCCATCAGTCGGAAAAACTGGTCGGCTCTGTCCAGGTAAGATTACTGCTGGCACTTTGAGTTTTGTTACAGAGTATGACACCCTCTGCAGCTGCTGCTTTTTGGCAGTAGACATTGTGGAGTTGAACTTTATTCACTGATCTGACTTCTCTCTTGCATCCTGTCTTGAGTAAAAATTATATATATAATAATTTATTGGACTTTGTACTATCTGTAGTCAGCAGCCAAGTGAGCCTACAATACCATTGTGCTATTTTCTATTTCCGTTGGTGTCATTACTAACGTTGCTACAGGCACTTCTACCTCTTCTTTGATGTTAGAATTATAAGCTCTAATGTCACAGTTAAAGTGTAGAAACAACTGGATTACTTAAAACGTCTTACTCCTGAATAACACCACCCCTTTGCTGCACTGCCTGCAACAATACACTAATAAATGCTGTGTTTTCTCCAGACATGATGCATAGTACTCGACTGAATAGTTGATTTACAGTTGCTTAGACAAGAGGCCAACTGTGACTTTGCTAGTAAAACAGTTGATGAACAAGTACAGCAGGTTTTGTGTAACAGTTATTGTAACTGTAATCTCTGATTTTCAACTACCAAAACAAACAGCTCCCTGGATTCATGTCATGAAAGCAGACTGATTGTCTGACTGATCGCCATGTGAATCTTCATTCTTTTCAGGCCTTTGTTTCATTTTCTGTTTTATGTTCTCGTTTGCCGATTATTATATTCCCCTGCGTGCATTATGACTCTGCCCTCAGCCTGGCACGCCAGTGGACAATGGAGGACGAGGAGGAGGTGGAGAGGGAGAAGAGGAGGAGGGAGAAGGGCTCAAGCAGCACCGCTGACCCAGATGCACCTAGAGACGCGACCACCAGCGACAGCGCCTTCGGGACGGACTCCACAAGTGAGACGTCCCAGGGCCTCAGCAGGTTATTCTCACCATTTAGTAACATACTTGCCAGAGCTTGATTTGTAGACTTTCTAGACTTTCTCTGCTCTTCCTCTCTCTGCTTGTTTTTACATCTATCTCTCTTTCTGTTTTATTCTCTCCAGCTTTCTTTTTCTCTTTGTTTCTGCTATGTAAGAGGGCCATAGGGAAGCTGCTAGGTCTTTGATGGTGCCACCTTTCAGTGGTTGGATTTCAGAAGCAGAGAGAGAGGATTCTTACACTTTTGCCCTATGGGAGTATGTCATCTGTATACTTTTCAAACACATGGAAAAAACCTGATATCATGCATACAAAATATGAAAGGCTGTCAAACACACCTCCAGCTGAGTACCTGGAGCAGAAGCAGTCTTCAAAGAGAGAAAGGAACTGTAGAGCCTTTCATTAAAGAAACCTGATCAGACACAGGACAGACAGGTCCTTCCACCTCTCTCCAGAGATGAACCATCATATACGTGCCGGTCATTCACACGTGTGTATTTATTTCCAGTGTGGAGCAAATACAGCTGGACTTCGTAGAGATGCTGCGAGTCCGTGACGAAAGGCGGCGGATGAGACATGTGGAGACGCTGAGACGACAAAAAGAGGAATGGGAGGATGAAGCGGAGGCTAGCAGAGGAGGAGGAGGAGGAGCGGGAGTGGGAGCAGGGGACGCCAGGGTGGAGTTACTAGGAGACTTGGATGAGGAGCAGGGCAGCGTGATTCCCTCTGTGAAAACCACATCCAAACCACAACCACCCCAAAAGCCAGCCTCTTACAGTCCCAGCAGCAGAAACAGCAGCAGCAGCAGCAGCAGCAGCACTAACACCACAAACAGACCAGTAAGACTGGAATCACTCGTTTCCTTTCAGCAAAGCAAAGCAAAACAGTTTGCCATTTATTTAAAGTTATGGTTATATGGTTATCATATGACAACAAGCACAACAAATCACAAAGTACAACTGAGGCTGATGGGAGGGTATGATAGGAGTATTAGTTTTGCAAGCATGTGTTAATAAACGAAAGTATTGAACAAATTGACCTTTTGATCTGACGACGGCGCGAGTTGAAAAGTCAGAGGCTCACCAAAGTCATTCGGGTAAATCATCTGGTAACCATCAACATCTGTACAGCATTTTGTTCAAATCTCTGTGGTGGATGTTACAATATTTCATGGGATGAGTGAAAACTTTTCCTGCTGGTGGGTGATAGAGCAAAAGGTCAGGAAATCACAAAACTCATTAGGATTCACCTTCTGGGCACCTTGAATGTCTGTGCAAAAAAATTTCATAACAATCCATCCAATAGTTGTTGAGATATTTCAGTCTGGACCAAAGTGGTGGACTGACTGACACTGCCATTTCTAAAAATGATGTGCAGTGACTCACCATGATGTTCCTTCACTTCACAGACAAATCCTTTGTCAAGACAGTTAGACAAAAGGTCAACAGACCTTCACTCAAAATTCAAGCTATGAATGCCTCACTGAGTCATAACAACAGTGTAACCCTGCAGTGTGGTTAATCACAGTTAACTGTTACCCCACACGGAGAGAGTCACGTTAATGTTTTTCTAGATTCTAAAACAACAACCAACTCCTGTCGCCTCAGGAAAAGATGTTACTCTTATGTTTTCTGTCAACATGGAAAGACTCAGTGTGCATTACACAGATAATATATATCTATATATAATAATACAATATGAGGAAATGGAGGCAAATACTGTTTGTATATTCATCTCCTGTCATTTTGCTGGACTTACACTCTTCCAGCGAATCAATAGAGCATGCAAACCATCTATAAAACTTTGATAAGGTGTGTTTAAGGTCATAATTTGAACTTTATCTTTTATTACACTCTCTGGTGGCTTTAATTCAGTGTATCTGCAAATAAGGCCATAACAGTGCAACGTTATGTAATGCAAGGTGTGTCTCAGGTGGCTCTGTACAAAAGCCTGTATGCTGTGTGCTCATGTTGATTGTCTCTACTCTATGTTTCTTTGTTAGCACGAAAACGGCGAGTCGCCGAACACAGACCCTGATCCCAAGCCATCGTCCAACCCGGCTCGCAAGTTTGTCAGGTTAACAAGCAGAACTTTCTGTTGTTCTTCTTTTTGCTTGGCAGTGACTGGGAGCTTATCCCCAATATAGATCAAACAGTTTTTAATGATAAGATAAGGGTTATTGATTCCCCACAAGGAAACTAATTACACAGCAGCAGAGAACAATGTCGTACTGATGAAAAAGAAACCAAAGTAAAATTGAAAATACTTTATGTCTTAGTTTATTGTTTAAATAATCAACTGTATGAAGGCAACCACATGTGCTTACAAACCAGTCCATAAAAAGACATATTCATTTAGATTGAAATGTCAAATTTCTAAATTCTAAATATGGTTTTTGGAAATTTAATAAACCTGGGTATTAATGCAGTATATACAGTGTTTAATGCAATCTCACATGCGCACAGACCTCTGTCTTATCATGATCAACTGGCAAGATAGCAGGTGAAAATATTGTCTAAAAAGTTGGGATAACAGTGAGGCAGCCTGGCTTCTCTGGCTCTCTGTAGAATCATTTTATTGGTTTAAAGCATTACGATGTCCTGCTGTGACTCTGGCTCCTCCTGCCTGACTTTTGTGCTGCTTGAGTTTCTTTGAACCTCTGTGAACAAAAACAGAGGCCTGGTCTAAAGAGAGATTTCATGAACCTGTTTTATATCACTTATGATGGTTAATGATGTTGCCAGCCTGTTAGTCTAAGAGGTCAAAAAGTTATGATCTGTTCAAGAGTGTTTTGACATGTTGAACTTTAATAGCTCTGGAGGAGTAGAGATAGATCGTACAAGAATGAGATTTCAGAAGCAGACCGGTGAACAGGTCGCAGTAAAGACTTTTAATACTCTGCTGCTTTACTCTGAGTTTGTCCTGGATCACTGGCTGCTTTCTCATGCACATCTTCAACTGACCTTTTTGGCTCACTTGCATTTCCGCTGTTGCAGTTCTGTGTCCATCTCACTCGACAAGAGTCCTTCTTTCAGCGGGCGCACAACTCCCATGAGCCCTTGCTCTCCGACCACCCCTCTGTCACCTCGAGAACACTGGCCATCGCCCTGTCAGAGCCCCTCTCCCAGAGGAGCCCAAAGCCCTGTTCAGAACGGACACACACAGGAGGTAGTTTAACACACACACACACACACACACACACACACACACACACATATAAATGCCCTGTCAGATGACATCATTTACAGCATAACTATCTGTGCTTCATGTTTTGCTTGTCAAAGTGCTTGCAAAGCGCTGACGCAGCTGCTTAATCATTCAATAAAACAACAGCACCATCCAGTGTTAGACGAGTGACAGTCACATTCTTTGAGCCAATAATAACAACCTAGTATTGGCTCCATAGTTGGAACCTGCAGCTGATATATAGTACCGTTTTTGAAGGGTAGAGTAGATGTTCAGAGGGACCTGCACCTCCCTCTGACTGGGAACAGTCCCGTCTGTGTGTAGCAGTGAAGTTCAAGTTATTTTACTTTATCTCAGACCAGCGAGGATGGCTCTCTCTCCAACCACCAACAGACGACCAAACCTGCCTTCGTCAGACAGAGTTCCAGGACTATATCTTTCAGGGTAACACGCATCAAGCAAACGCACACACACACACACACACACACAAACATGCATGGACATGTTGTTCCAAGGAAACGCCAACATTAACTTTTGCCTATTTGACTGTTAAAAACACGATTTAATCTTGTATCACATGTCAGACTATCAGTTGAGGATGATTTGCTTGTGCCTCTCAAGCTTTGGGCTTATGCTAATAGCTGAAGCAATATTTACCAACTGTGACTGCTGACTGGCTCCTTTGTTAACAACCTGAGCACATCACAAGAGAGAGGATGATGACTGTGCTGGCCATGAGCTTCTGACATTTGGACGGCTGCACGGTCTGCTAACACACACACGCTTGTCTCACTCTTGGTCCTCCACAGATGATGAAGAAGAAAGAAGAAGAGAGTGCACCGCTGCAGAGGAGGTAAGGAAACATCTTTGCTTTTACTTCGAGTCACTTTGTGTCTGTTTACCTTTAGTTAAATGCAAATGGTTTCGTTCTGTTTTAGTGCGAGTGTGAGGATGGCCACCAAGAAGTTTGAATCCAACACAGTAAGATAAGAATTTACGTTCACCTGATGTTAAAATAAAAAATAATAATGATAATAATAGTAACAATTATAAGCAGTTATTTTGTATAGCACTTTAATCAATCATTAAAATAATGCACAAAACTGAATATCAGCAAACAGTTATAAATGATCAAATAATCACTCCAGTATATAGTGGTATTTCAGGCTTATTTCTCAGCTCCAATTTCTTAGTGAGATTTACTGTATTTCATCACATCTGCACCTTGAACATGAAGATATTCTTTTAGCGTCTGTAAAAGAAAATATGAAAAAAAAAGATGATAAAGATGTGAACGACATTTGTTTTAAAGTTGCACATACATGATTTAGAGTGTATCTCATATTAAATATCCTGGGGTTAGGACCAGGACCAAAATGAAGATGAAGACAAACCGTCATCTTTCACGAGGAGGTGAGCTGGTTTTTCTGTTCCATTTCTAGTTTGATTTCAGTCAAAGCGAGTCAGTACAGCCGGACGAGTGCTTACGTGCGTTATGTTGTGTTGGTCCAGCTCTAGGCAGAGGATTTCATCCAGGTCCATCCAGGAGAAGATGGAGAGACTGGCTCAGGCTGCACAGGTCAGACTCTCAGCACACAGAACATCACAGCTCGGCCTTCCAATGCAGCAGGAGTAACAATCATCCTCGTCATCAACCGACAGTATTACCCATGGTGTATTCTCTGGACTCTGCTTCCTGTATTTGTGTAGAAATCAGAAATGACGCGATCTCCAGACGTGACCCAGAGGACCCTGTTCCTGCTGGAGGAGGTGTCCAGGAAGAGAGGTCTCTTCGAGAAGGAGCAGCAGGAAGCGGCCCCCACCAGCCCTGGAGTTTCCAGACAGGTAAACTCATTGCTCACTTCATGTTCTGCATTAGATGCACATGTGCATTTTGATTCTTAGTAATGACAACAAAACACAGTAGGCATACTATTCAAAATGACATACTGTAAATATAACGAAGATTAACAAATACACAATATAAAATAATACAAATGAAACAAATAAACATAATAATAACAACAACAGGGGATTTTGAGTAAGGAACACTTTTACAAGTTTACAAGGGTAGCTATAAACTGTTAAACACACATTATTAATAGTTATAAAATAGTTAAACTTCAACTTCAGTTAACATGTAATGTTACTATTAGCACGAATGAGCTGTAATTATTTGGCATCTCTGGTGTTAACAGGAATTCAGGAGCTTCGCATCAGGAATGTCGGACCGGATCAACCGCTGGCTCAACAAGTCCAACCAAGCCGGGCCTTCACACAGTCCTACTGTACAGTCACCTATTACTCAGGCTATTTGCATTGCAGCATATCTACTGAAACTGCATCATGTAAAAAAAAGTTAAACAGGTGTAGAAGCAGCTAGAGGGCAGCAGTACTCTGTCAGTTACATGTGCCTCAGTGTCCTGAGCAGGATGCTTTTTATCTGTTTGTGCTGCTTACCTTCGATGAGTTTTACATTTTACACTCATTTTCTATCGCTATCCTCGTTCTGACTCTCTTCTGTTGTCATGGGGGATGGTTGACTTGTGGTGATTAGAGACTTTAGCTGAGATATCCAGTTGCCTTAACTTCAGAAGTTTGTGTTAAAAGTTTAATAGTTTAATAATTTCAAATAAGTTCAAGATCTTTGTGGTTGTTAATTTTCAGAGAGAAATTCATCTTAGGGATATCAGATATAAGCGCATCTTGTTTTATGTATACAGAGTATATGGTGTTTTACTGCTGCGTCGGGGGTTGATTTCCTTTTAGAAAAAAGTGTGATCATTTGTTCTATTTTCTATTTATAGGACTTGAGACATGTGGACATCACCAGTAAGAAGAGCCTGTTCGAGAACAGAGGGGAGGACTGTGTCTCAAAGGCCAGCCCTGGAAAAATCTATAAGTGAAAACATGTCCAACAGGTAGGATTACTGCACCACACTGCACACAGTAACATACAGTGATACTTATTTGTCTGGACACTATGAAAACAGTTGTAACATCATCTAAATGAAGCAGATCTAAAGATGCCAACGACTTTGACATAACTTTATCATCAAATATGGAATCAAAAGGTATTTCTTGAGCAATAATTTCTGTGCCCTTATTCACAGGATTAAGAAAATGGCGGCAGCGAGAGGAGACAGCGAGAACTGGAAGATTAATGGATGCCATGACTGACTGATTGCTTCTTCAGGCTTTATAAGTTTTTGTTGTTGGTTTTTTGGTTTGTTTTTTTTTGGTCACTGCCACAGCACACAGGAGGAACAGATGAGAGAATCAGGAAAAAAAAAGTGAGCTGAGTTGTGGCTTTAAAAGACTGAAGGTGAGGAATCTGCTTTTAAAATTAGGAGGCTTGGAAGGAAGGAGTAAAAAGCAAAGTATACAGAAGGGAAGTGATAGAAAAGAGAAAGGGCAGTGACATATTTGTTTTAAAACTCTTCAACCATTTGCCTTAACTTTGTGTAATTTTTTTTTTCAAGCACTTTAAACAGGTGAAGGTCTTAAAGCTCGTGTTTATTAAATAACAGTAGTGGGAATTCTGGAGTTTTAATTGTACGTTTTTTGTCTAATCTGTTTATGGGCAAGATGCTGACTGCCTAAGGAATAAAAACGTTTTCCTACATATGTCTGCCATTTATTTTAATTGCTCACTCACACAACACAGAAACAGCGTGTGGTCGTAAAATGCATTTGTACATCACCTATCTCAGAGGAGGGAGAGTGTAGATAAGAGTTGTGCGCCTGTGTTTTGTCAGTGGCAAGATGCCATACATGGTTAAGTGCCTCAGCCTGTGTTTGTGTGTTTTTGTGCGTGTGCATGAATCATTGTCTGGGAGCTGCGGGCTTATCTGGATCGTTTTGGCACTGCAACCCCACAGCCGTGCACACACAGCGACCTTTTTTGGGAGTGGTGATAATGAAGAGTACATGCTATCTAAAAAGTTTATTAATAACACAACAAGGGGTCCTAAAGCCTCTTTCCCCAGCCCGCAGTCAGTCCCCTTGCCCTCTGAGACTCACCTCACCTCACGTTCCTGTCAGAGAAAAGCGAGCACCTCTCCTCTGCTGCACATTGAGTCTCTCCATCAGCTTTCTTTCTCCATCAGTCCGTCTGATCTCTAGGTAAGTGTCACTGATTGTGCAAGAAGATAAAACTATGTGCACTGTAAAACGTTAGTGTAAAGAAGTGGTCAGAGTGTAAGGGGGAACATGATTTCTAAGGAGAACTTATGGCGTCTGTTTAATGTTCAGATCCACTGCGGCACACCTGGACGCTCGCTGCCATGTCGGACAACGAGGAAGTGGTGGAGGAGTATGAGGAGTAGGTTTGAACCTCGTTTTTATTTTCACGTGTCACACAAAAGAGAAACTGTCTCTGCTTGAATACACCATACACCCTGTTATATAACTATACAAGTACAGACAACTTTCGTTTTCTTTACATCTACTGCAATGACGGCTGTATGCTATTATATGCATTTGTGCCTTGGGTCAAAATAATAATAATGCATATATGTGTTTGAATTTCACAGGGTGGTGGAAGGTAAGAACTCGACTCACCATGTTCACTATCAACCCTGACAGACACTCAACTTTTAAAACTAAACGCATGTTGTTGAGACAAATGTTTTCTTTACATAATCCACGAAGCTTAATATAGTAACCCGATGCTATGATATGCTTCACACAGTATAAACTGGATTTAAAAGGAATGTAAAGGCATGGTCGTTATATCTCCTGTGAGTGAAGTTTGTTAACTCAGCATGCAGTTTCCAGCTTTAGGTAGGGACATAGTCATCTCTACAATGTGAATGAGCAACGTAGAGCTCTACAAAATTAAAGGGTGTCTGCTTTTTTCTTTTCCTAATGTCTGAGGCTTATCACAGTGCAACACAGTGTGTTCCCTGTCGAGTCAAAGATTGCAGTGGCTACATTTTTCTTGGAAAATCTGCAGAATGTAAAAAAAAAAAAAGTTATTTGTTCAGGGTATTGAAGGTAATTTCCCGCTTCCTTTCTGCTTCTTTTGTTTGTAATTACCTCTATCATTAGTGGTATCATAGCAAAAGTAGCTGTGTGTGTTAACATGAGTTACTATAAACCACATTTGTCAGTTTGTGATTACATTTGTTAATTCCTTCTGTATATATATATGTATGTGTGTGTGTGTGTGTGTGTGTGTGTGTGTGTGTGTGTGTGTGTGTGTGTGTGTGTGTGTGTGTGTGTGTGTGTGTGTGTGTGTGTGTGTGTGTATATATCTCCCTGGCTGCCTGATTCAGAAGAGGAGGCTGAAGGTATGGAACCCATTAACTTCACAGTACAGCTTTAGCGCTGGCATAAATGAAGCTCTGTGTCATCCACAAATGGTTTTTTATCATTGTTCTACAACATCAAAATGCCATTTACCAGAGCAACAGATGGCCTGGTAGATGCGGTTTGTCCCGACTGTCAGGCTGCTTGTGGTTAAACTACGATAGCTATGGCTGACATTGCTGAATGATTATGTTTAAATTAGTCATGCTTTATCTCCCCAAACTTTCAAAGAAGTTTGTTTGCTTATTATTCCTTTCTTCGTGTGTGTCTGAATGCTGCTGGCTGCTTTGCTAGCTGGCTGGCTGAACTAACAAGACCTGTGCTTTGCTCAGCAGAGGAGCAGGAGGTAGAGGAGGAGGTGGAGGAGCAGGAGGAGGAGGAGGAGGAGGAGGAGGCAGAGGAAGGTACTGCTTGAGCTTTGGGCTGAAAATATTTGCTGGAAATACTCCATAGACAGCAATTATCCGGATGATTTTGGTGACATTTTTTCCCCTTCAATCAGTGACAATCTAGTGTGATGACACACTAACTGGTCATAAAGATTGTGGTTCAAAATTCAATTTGAAGAATAAATAAAATGTTCTTGCAGACTATTCTGGGTTCTAATATCCAAGTATTAATGAGAAATAATACTTAATAATATCCAATTAACATTTGGCAAGCAATGTCACACCAAGGTGATTTGTGTCAATGGGGGACAAAATAGATAAATAAATGCTTAAATAACCAACTAAATAATAAATGAACACATAAAGAAATATATTTCTACCATATATATGTACATTTATACAGACACTGAAATACAGACATAACTATAAGGAAATATTTAGAAATAGAAAATGTAACATGCAAATGTAGAGAAATTATGAAACACATTTAATATGTTTATTTATTTTAATAAAGTCAGTTTTTGTCCTTCATAGCTACAACTATCACTGATCAGACTTTTCTGGATTAGCACTGTAAGCTATCAAAGTCAGTCTCTGTTTTGCTGTCAGTAATGGAGATATTTCGGAAAGTGTCACCTGACTGGATCATATATTTGGGATAGTTCTGCTCTCTCTCTCTCTCTCTCTCTAAAGTTCTCTCTGCTCATGAACTCGTGGGAGCAATTTTGTTTTTAAATTCCCTATCACATGAGCTTGAAGACCTCAAGTCAGGGGGCTGAGAGAGTTTGGCGGCATCGCAAATACACACACATGCACAAACACACACCACTTCACCAGCTCTTGAGTGTTCCCTGCTTTAAATACCAGAGGAGGGTAGCTCATTCTGAACTGATCACGTGGTCCCTCTCTGCAAGGTTGTTTAACATAGTGCTTGGACAAACCAAGAGTCCATGGACCACAGAGTCCATCCATCCACTCACATAATGTGGATACACCTCCAAAAATCTTAAACAGTAATGAGGGGAAAAAGAGAGGGAAGAAAAACAGTATATAATTAGCTTTGGCACAGCTCGTGAAAAATTACATGATTGACAATGAAGAGCGATCGTTTGAGTGTGGCAATGTGTCAACATCACACCCTGTGAGTGTCAATCTAACTCACCGAAATGTCAGTATTTGCTGGAAAACTTCCTTCTCTTCCAGAGGCCGTGCAGGAAGAAGACACAACTGCTGCAGAGGAGGAGCCCAGTGAAGAACAAGGTGAGGGGTTTTATGATGGAAAACACCGTTGCCAGGTTGTTTTTGAGCACAGATATTTGGTCAAGTGTCATTACCCTGTCAGCATTTACTCAGTGAGACAATCTCCCAGTGTAGTGTTATGTGTTGACAACAGGGTAATGATGATTAATTTACTCTGTCAGTAAGCATGAGACAGACGGGCGGGAAATGATATGCTATCTCAGTCACACTTCACTTTGGTATGTGACAGTGTGCAGTTCTAAAGTCTCACTGCCTCTGTCTTAGTCACACCAGACGCAGACTCAGGATCAGAGTAATCTTCAAGACTCCTGTTGAGCCCAGTCCTAAGACTGTTGTTAATTAGTCAGAATTTGGTCATTGCTGTCGCACCTTATCAGCCATGTTTAGGCGTTTCTCACCCTTTTCCTGTCTCTTCACATGAAACTGCACGGATGATCATTCTCATTCATGATTCATTCTCATCTATGCTTTCAATCTCCAAACGCCCAATGACACACATGTGAGCTCTCAGCTGATGTGTCACAAACAATAGGCAGGAGAAAGTGACTTTTTGCCTCGCCAGAGCGGTTTGTGAATACAGTGTTTCTACGGCCAGTTCGGTTTATAGCCAACCCTCTAGTGTTGTTCAAGGGGTGGCAATCTGGGTCGGTCCGCCACTTTGGTCCAGACTGAAATATCTCATTTACTACCTGATGGATTACCATGAAATGTTGTACCCAGGTTCCCAGATGTTGTATCTTACTGACTTTGGAGATCCCTTGACTTTTCCTTTAGCTCCGCGGAATTTCAAATTATCGAAAATGTTATGACTAAATACCTGCAAACCTACCTGCATTCCCACCAACCTCAGCTGTAATTTATGTTTTGTGCGAATCAGCGAATGTTAGCATGCTGACACCCACACCTGTTAAGCATGTTAACATTGCCATTGTATGCATGTTAGTATACTGACATCAGCACTGAGCTCAAAGCAGCACTCTGCCTAAGTATAGCCCCACACAGCTGCTAGCCGTAGCCTAGCTCGTTGAAATAAAAAACACCACTTAGAATCCTGCTGCTGTAAAGAGTACTGCCAAAGTTTTTATGGCTTTTGTTGTTTGTTGAGTATCATTCAGAGGTCATAGATGCCATACCTTCTTTGCGGCTTAATGCCTATTATTAAGACATGTTTGTCTAGATCAACGCTCACCTCTCAAGGGTGCTATTAATGATAAACGACGCATGCAACACTTCACTTGACACACCCCAAGACAGACAAGATAACAGTACATAATTCTTCCAGTGATCTGTTTTGGTCTGTCTTCTTCTTTTCATGCACACCGACATATAACTTTGTCTGTCAGCAGTAAATCACTACAGTTCACTTTACTTACTCTTTTGAAACACAGTCACAAACACGTAAAAGCTATTAAGCATTTTGTTTTGGTTTCAGATGGAGAAGGGGAAGAAGGAGATGGAGAAGGTAATACTGATACTCTAAACTGCATCGAAATGAATGCCAGAACATTATGAATCTGTTTTTTCTTGGATCAGAATGAAATACAGATCAACTTTCAGCTCAACTAAAATTTCAGCCATTATAAGCAGGTATCACTGAATCCATTGTCATAACTTGCTGGCATTTCCTTGTAGGATTATTATGAGATATGTATATGTGTGTGTGTGTGTGTGTGTGTGTGTGTGTGTGTGTGCTGTCTGGACAAGCTCATCTCTGTCTTCTCTTTCTATTTTTCTTCTTCTTTCTCCACAGAGGAGGAAGCCAAACCAAAATTCAAGTGAGTAACACTCATGGACATGTACATACACATTTATTCTTACAGGACTTTTCTAGAAAGCAAAATATTTATTGTAGAGATAATTCTAGTGTTTTGGGGAAATGATTTGTTCCTTTTTGCGGAGCGTTAGATGAGAAGCTCGATACCACTCTCATGTATGTCCGGTAATCTGCAGGTTACCGTCAGCAGACATTTAGCTTAGTTTAGCACAAAGACTGAAAATGGAGAAAACACTCCTTATAACTTCAGAACTCGTCTGAGAATCATTACTTTTTTGAGGTTGCTTCAGTATCATAGTAATCCATTGATAATTATTTTCATATTTCCTGTGCAGATATGAGAGTGGCATCAAACTTCTCATCTAACTTTTAACCCTAAACTCAACTCTAAACCCAAATCATTTCACATCACCCCGACACTAAATTCTCACGCCTAAAGAAAAATGTAGACCCAACCCTTGTGTCAAACAACGTATAGATATATAGTACATGTAGCATCTGCCTCTGAGCATCATGTACATTTACAGGCAAAGACATGCATACATAGACTGAAGGGACAATTTCTTTGCACCTTTGAACCTCCTAATTATATTCATTATCATTTGACATCCACAGTGACAGTGACTGATGATTATTTTTGCTTTTTTAATCCACATTTTTTTCTTACTCTATCCTATAACTCACTGTACTCTCTGTTTTGTTTTTTTAAACTCTAGGCCATTTATCATGCCAAACCTCATCCCACCTAAGATCCCAGATGGAGAGAAGGTGGATTTTGATGTGAGTGACAAGCCGAGAGGAGAACAGAGGATTGCCTGTTTCCTTACAGTACATACTGTGGATAGGTTTCTGCCTAACAATATATCATATCATTTTAAACATCACCAGATGTTAGGCTGGGATACTGTATGTCAATATTAAGCATGTTCTTGAGTTCGTGTTTGAAGTTGAAACTAGAACTAACGCCTCGCGCTTGTATGCCTCGGCCACGCCGACTAGTTTTAGACTGCATCAGATACATGTTTATCCAGAGTCATGTAATACATTAACCATTTGTGTGAAATTTGCCATAATTGCTGTGTGAAGTCTTTAGTAATGGCTAAAAAGTGTTTCGTGAGGTCACACTGACCTTTGACCTTTAGCCACCAAAATCTAATCAGTTCGTCCTCGAGTCCAAATGAGTATTTGTGCCAAATTTGAAAAAGTTCTGTCCAGGCGTTACTGAGATATCGTGTCCATTAGAATGGGACGGATGTACGTACATATGGACGGACAACCCGAGAAAAATACGCCTTCGGCTCTGGCTGTCGCCGGTGCGGAAGCATAAAAAGAGACCAATAACAAATAAGCTTATCTTGTCTTTTTGTAAAGTGGAAATGCATGAAACACAGACATCAAATCCCCGTTTCTGTAGGACATACATCGTAAAAGGATGGAGAAGGACCTGATGGAGCTTCAGACTCTGATTGAAGTTCACTTTGAAAGCAGGAAGAAGGAAGAAGAGGAGCTCATTCATCTCAAGGAGAGGATTGTGAGTGCCAAATACCATGGCTAATCTACTGTTAACCTATTCACACACTCATAAAGTTTAAGATTTGTTTCAAGTTCTGTTAAAAATGGGATAATTTGTTGTGCAGGAGAAGCGTCGTTCTGAACGTGCAGAGCAGCAAAGAATCCGCAGCGAGAGAGAGAAAGAGAGACAGAAGCGTCTTGAGGTAGAGTCCCAGTCCAGCTGCTGTAATGTAATCTACACAGCTGCCTTTATTTCACTTCTGCTTCCTCTCTCAATCCATGTTTATGTAGGAGGAGAGAGCCCGTAAGGAGGAAGAGGAGGCCAAGAGGAGAGCAGAGGACGACGCGAAGAAGAAGAAAACCCTGACCAGCCTCCATTTTGGAGGGTACATGCAGAAGTTGGTGAGCAACTGGAGGGTTTATTGCCGGGGTTTCAAAGAGGTTAAAGATATAGACTAGATGCATGAATTATTTCCCACAGACAGAGAAACGGAGCGGTAAGAGGCAGACTGAGAGAGAGAAGAAGAAGAAGATCCTGAGTGAAAGACGCAAATCTCTGGACATTGAGAACATGAACCAGGATAAACTCAAGTAGGTGGAGAAATATCATGTTATTATACCACACACAAAAACATTTTTTTAAGTAAGGGACACTCTTTGTGTGAAGATAAAATCACACTTTATTAATCTCAAAGGGAAATTAGAGATACACATGTGGTGATGAAAATAATCCCTCTACATAAAAAACGCAATGTAATTTTCCCTCGTCTCTCAGGGACAAAGCTAATGAGCTGTGGGAGTGGATGTACGAGCTGGAAGCAGAGAAGTTTGAACTGCAGTACCAGTTCTCCAGGCAGAAATATGAGGTGTGTGTGTGGGCAAATATACACAACAAATATCTTTGAAGACACACGATCTGATGATCGGCGTCATTAGAGTAATATTTGCATATTTTCTTTGTTCCAGATTAATGTGCTGAGGAATCGTGTCAGCGATCATCAGAAAACGTGAGAATGAACTTTGAATCAGATGTTTTTTTCTCCCTCCCTCTCTAACGCCACACACATTTTTCACACAGATGCACACCCACATGGACGCCTGCTCACAGAACATGTACATGGTCTAACTAATTGACTAATTGCAGGACCCTTGATAGGAATTGAATCGCCCAGCAGAAGGCAAACAGCTCCTTACCCATGGTGTTGCTATCAACACTTTGTTCCTGTGCAGAATGTGTCGGTCTGTGTGGCCTGGCTAACAAAACCACTATTTCCACCTGTCAAGTTCAATGGCCTCAGTAAAAGACAAGGGCTCCCAGCTTGGGTGCTGCAGTGGGAGGAGCATTTTCCCCCAAGCCACACAATACAACCCCTACAAATACAACATGGGCCTACAACAATACACACACACACACCAAAAAAGCTGCAGCAGTAACAACAGCAGCCAGGTCTATAAGAGAGGACTCAGTAAACAATAATAGCTCACAACAATACCATAACATTACAATACACATATCCAAAAGGCCATTGTGCATGGCACACAAGAACTTATCCAAATGCCCACATTTTTTCAACAAAGTTACATCAGTGTGATGTTAAAGGTAATTGACAGCTAAATATTAAACTGCTCAACGGCAGCTTAAACCAAATAACTTACCTTGAGCTGCAGGCCATATGCTCCAGTAGTTATAATAATCCACCTGTGGCCATCAGGACGGCCTGGGTCCAGCTCCTCGAGGAAGGTGAAGGGGCACTAAAATCAACCGCTTTCCCTCCGCTGCCTCTTAAAAGATTTTTTCGCCACGTAATGACGCTTCTTCCATTTAGCAAACCAACTTGGTCTAAATGCACGACTTAAAGTTTTTTTTTTCTCCAAACGTCTGGCCGGAAATTTGAAGTCGGGTGGCTGGAGAGGCTGGTAATTTTATCTGGTGATATTTGTTCCCATATCCCACTTCCTGTGCTCCAAATCTCGTTCGCAGATTCGTCATTTTCAGCTCGGCTGGTCCACCCGTGTGTCTGTAAAGCGTGGCGAGATATTGAATACATCGCCGAGATAAAACTATGCGTGTCAGTAATACCAGACTATCCGTGTCATTATATATCCGTGTCAGTAATACCAGACTTACAGGCCAAAATATAAATACTCAAATGAAAGCCCGCAACAGGATTCGAACTGCGGCGCAACAGGAAAATAATCACTAATTAACATCTATCGCAGTACGCCACCAAAGTATCCTGCAAGCTGTGTATCTTACACATATACATCTTGTTTACTGTGTCACACATTTTAATGCTGTATAAAGTTCAGATGACACATCCATGTTAACTGGTGACAGTCATGACACAGGCAGACGCTGCTAAAGCAAGCCTCTAAAGAAGAAAACGAAGTGCCCATTACAATGCACATACCAAACACATGGCAATTAACTTAAGTTATTATAGTCTTTAGTTATATGTTTAGTTAGTAATAACTTAAGTTATATATATTCTAGCTCCCGCGGCCATGCCTTTAAGGTTAGGCTAATGAACCAGACTTGTAAGGCTGGTTAATATTTTGTGAAGTTTGTATTTTTGCCTGAAGTCAAACTGCCAAATTTTGCACAAATGTCAGAGTTTCAGGCACAGGCCTGCTTTTTAAAGGTTTAAGTAACCTTGCAAGGCTAGTTGACAAAAAACAGTAATTATGGCTTGTAATTCAAGTTCTAACAATACAGAATACATGTAATAGAGTCACAATTAAGCTGTAAAGAAACTATAACTGATTACAACATGCAACTGCAAAAGTCCTTTTTCATATGGTTGTGTTGAGGGAATACCATCAGGTGCTTCTATGCATTTGCTGTCACAGTGGATCTGCAGCCGCCCTTTGAACACTCATTTTTAATTGATAGGCATTTTGAGGCCAGGCAAGCACCCCACCCTGTCCCCTCCCTGTCACGGCCCAGCTCTCCTCTCCTCTCCTCAAAAGCTCATGACCACCCCACCCCCCCCAGGCACTGTTACTTCAGCTGGGTGAGCTGGCTGAATAGCTGGGTGTGGCAGCGAGGCAGGCAGGTCATCTGTCACACCTGTTGCAGACACACTAAAGGAGCTCTGCAGCAGCTGTGTATGTCTCTCGCCATGTGCTGTTTGCTTTGTTATTTTTGGAATGGATTGTAGAGGATTCTGCAACCTGAAAATGTCAGCTTTCTCATTGCTTTTTGTGATGAAACAAGTAAGCCTGATGTCTGCCTCATGTGACCCTTATTTTATTTTCAACAGATCAAAGAGGAGCAAGAGAGGCCTAAGGAAATAGATGCTGAAATGCTGAGTGAGCAGTGTCACCATCAGCCCTGTCCTACAGCCATTGCGTCAAACCCTTGTCCCACCCATCTCCCTAAACCACAACCTGCAGTACAGATTATAGCCAGTTATCCAGCTTCTTCTCACTCTTTTTTTCCTCTTTTTTTCTCCCCATCCTTTGAATGATTAGATATTCTGTATTTAATGGTGTAAATAAAACCATCTCAGTTTGATCACTTGCTTCTTACTCTGTCAGGCCTTTTAGTGCAGGTGCATGTGTTTGTTTACTGAGTGAAATCATTCTGAAGTACATTCAAGACGTGAATGCAGACAGCCTAAAGCCAAGACAGGAAGAGACATCATCCTGCTCATAGACAGGCTCTGACACGACTGTGACTGATGTGATGCTCCTTGGGCCAACGCCCAGACCTCCTCCTAACACGCACCCACACGCACGTATACAAATACACACATATATACACACGCGCAGAGATCTGAAAGAGGATGAATCATTTCTCGTAATCCAGGTGGGAAAACCCTCATTATGAAAAAAGATATCCCTCTTCCAACTTCTATTGTATCAGAAAACTCATCTCAAAGTGAATTTATGTGACAACATCCTTGGTTCTGATCAGACACGCATATACAGAAAATGAAATACCAGTTAAGTCGCTCGTGTGGATGGGATGTGACGGTAAATATGCTGGAAAGGTTACAACTTGTAATGAAACAAGTATTCCATTCAGTGGTTTTATATGATTGATGAATTTGTTGTGAGACTTTTCCCAACATACGAACATATCTCAGTTAATTAGACACACTATAATTAAAGATGCACACAAACCTGGTCATAGGGTGGAGTTGCTGTAGCTCTTGTCAGTATTCTATCACTCAGGGGAGGGAGAAGTTGTAAATCCAATATATCCTAAATTAATCTAAATTAAACACAGAATACTTCTGCTTCAAAGTGATTTGCATTAATGAAAGAATACAAATGTATTAGCTGTCTCTAGAATAGTATGAGGCACTGGGGATTTCCTTGTTTTTGCATTGTGGTTTATTTCTTGGAGACAGTGATTAGTGAGCTAGTAAACTGTCTCTGCCGTTTGTCTCGCTACATTTCATCACCTGTCAAACAACTTAAACAGAACAGATTGATTTGGTTGTGTTGCGTTGATGATAAACAGACGATGTGAAGAAACAAAAAGCTGACGATTCTGTCACCGAATAACAAACGTGTTTGTCCAGGAAACCGCTCAACTATAGCTGAGAGGAACAGGATAAAAATAGGGTAAAAATATAAATTTAAAAATATAAATCATGCAGAACGCAACATTTTCAGTACGTTGTGAATAACTGAAACTAATGATTAATGTACTTTCGTGTGAAGAGAGTGCAAGCTGTGAAAAGCACATTCAAAAAAAAAAATCGGCCTTTGGGATTTAAATCTCACCAAACCTGCTTGAGTCAGACCCTCAAACACGATTTAGAAAATGGAGCCGCGAGGCTTCTCATTTTGTTTTCATAGCTTTTTTCTTAGTCAGGGAACGGCATGCACACACAAACACCGCAGAAACCCTGCTGATTAGTTCAAGAAGTTTAGGAGAAATGATGAACACAGATTCCAGTATCTTCCCACATGGCTCGTACTGTGTTAATGTCAAATATGCACATAGTATGAACTTTCTGTTATCACACTGAATTACTTTAGTTGCTTGTTGAAGAAAAGACCACAACGTACATGCATATATGTTATTTATTCTACAAATAGACTGAGTGACAGGGAATGCTCCTAATTATACGTCTACATACATTTCTCCACAAATACATTCAAAGCAATACTGACATCAGTCTTTCCCGAGGCAAATGAACCTCTGCATGACTGTGTGTCTCGGATAAAAACAGTCCCGCGCAGTGCACTGTGGGACTGTGGGGAATCCCCACAGTTGCCAACTCTCTGCGCTTTAGCAATTTGCAATGCTGGGTTTTCAAAAACGTAAAAATGTAATGTATAAGTAGCTTCTACCCTGAGACTGTCATAAAGATCTTAGACGAGGGCACAGCCTGTTGAGTTAGATCAAAGACCACTTATAAGAGTCTCAGTGTGCAGCCAGCAGCTAACACTGACCGTGTGGCTATGTCATCTGTCAAAGAATTTCAAATGTGACTCATAGGGTTTTCTACACATAGCTAATCAAGCTGAAAAGCTGTTACATGTCATGAATTAAATTCCAAACCCCTCTGTCTCCAATTCCTTAGTTTATGCAAGAAAACAAACAATGTGAAACAAGGGAAAAAAACAAACACTACACAACTGAATCTGTAAATTTCAATAGGTAAGTTAATACAAAGCAATGTAATAGAACAAGGCGCTTAGTACTCCACTTTAAAGAAACAGTTTGGCATTTTGAGAAATACGTTTATTATTACTGTTTCTTGCAGAGATTTAGATGAGCAAATTGATACCGAATGAGAAGCTTCATCAGCACGTGCTTAGCTTACCACAAAGACTGGAAAAACGAGGAAACAGCTCGCCTGCCTCTGACCAAAGGCAACGTACTTGTTTGTTTAAGCTGCACAAAAAACTGAACCTCTGTAAAACCACAAAGTGTTCTTTTGACACTTTGCTTTTTGTACGGATAAAACAAACATAACATGTTAGTTAGCAAGCTCTGTTGCTGGTAGGTGGATTTTATTACCTTTGGACAGAGCCAGGCTAGCTGTTCCCCCCTGTTTCCAGTCTTTGTGCTAAGCTAAGCTAACCAGCTGCTCACTGTAGCTTCTGTGCAGACATGAGAGCGGTATCGATCTTCTCATCTTACTCCAGGCAGGAAAGCAAAATAGTGCTGTGTTTCTCAAAATGTCAAACCATTCATTTAACTATTGAGGCGCTAGCTGCTATGCTCATTTTTAATGAAACAGGCGACAGAAAGAAGTAACAAAAAAATCCAATCAACTGCATTAAACGTTAAAAATGTAGCATTTCTTTGCTTTTGTATGGAAACCTTGCAAATCCAAGTGCTTAGTCTTTATTGAAGTGAGTGCTTGCTCAGTCTTTTACATACTGTTGGCACATTCACCATACTAAACCATATTCAACCTATTCAAAAAAAAAAAAGCAAATTAAAAAGAAACCCATTACAAACCAAAAAAAACAAACAAACTGATTTTTAAAAATGTTGTTATTTTTTTTACTTAATACCTACAGAGCACACTCTTTGGATGTACAAGATTTCATCTCATAGCAACAGTTTGTTTTTTTTTTGTTTTGTTTTTTGTTTTTTTTAACATTTTTCTTATTACTTTCATTTTCAGCTGATAAGTCCTCAAGGCCACAATAGATATTTTATTTTGTAGCCTGTAGACGGACACATTTGATAGAGATGCCATTCCTAAATCTGAATAATCACTGCATGTTTTGAGTAACATTTCACTGCAGATAACATTGTCTGGTGTATTGTGGCTCACAAGCTGCAAGAAGTGGGTTTCAGCATACGCACACTTAACCTACCATAAACACACTCACCCATTTATATACAAAGACAGAAGCATATCCAATTTAAATACATACAACACCGCAGAATTACAAGGAAATCTTTCTTTTCTCTATTGTATGTACAATATACTGTATGATTGACTCAAAATGATAGGATCTTTTAGCAAGGCCATTATTTGAAGGATTTTACTCTCCGTGCTGCAAGGGTGTGGCCACCACAGTGTCTAAACATGCTGGTTTCCATCTGCAAGTACACACCTGAGCACATGGAGGAAAAGAGGAAGAGAGAAAAGAGAAAAAAAAAAGTTTTAATCCCTTTGATAGAAATTCTGCTCATTCTGGCCCCACTGAGCCTTTAAATCATAAATACATACAACTACAAGCATCCAGAAACCAGTCCTACCTCTAAGGCTGTGTGGTGCCACTCGTCCGTCGCACTCAATCGATCATTTGCTTGTACTGTGCTGTGGTGTTGTCATTGACAAAAAGCGACTTGGCCAATCCCAGCTGTGGAGCAAAAAGTTTTAAGAAAAGTTGAAGAAAATTAGTGAAAGGTGTCACACAGATGCAAGCGCACACAAACACACACACACACACACACACACACACACACACATACAATGCAACCCCGCACTGGCTGTGAGAGGAAGAGTACTGAGCTCAGAGGAGCCTTGGGTGAATTATGGCAGTGTGAAAACCAGTGTTTTCCCTCTTTTCCCAGCTCTGCTTCTGTTCATAACATCTATAAGCATTGTTACTGCTCATAGGATAAGCATACTCGCTCATACTCATACACTCATACACTCATTTCAAGGAAACGTTTCATGTATTCTGTCTATGCACCACCCTGCCCACCACTGACTCTCACTGTTTTGACCTCCTCTCTTTATCTCTCTTCAAATTTCCACGTCTTACTCCTCCCGTAATAGACAGCGAGCACCTAAAAACCAGTCTGCTAGGATTCCAGTGTGACTGTTCCTGTATTCACTGAACTCTTGGGTGTGGCAGGAGGGAAGGGAAAGTGTGTGAGCCAGAGGAGTAATAATAAACACCCGCCCATTTCAGCTGGGCCCTCCCGCTGCTCGTACAAGGCAGTGCGAGTATGTGCTCGGCTTCAACATGACACACAAGCACAATAGGTTTGTGGAGTGACTGCCTTAGTATGTATTAAGAATTGTACCCATAGGTCAACCATACATTTCACCTCTGTCTAATTTACCTTTTTCGCAGTGCCTTGCAAATTCTTCTCATTCCATAAGCTGTAGAGCAGCAATGCGGCTGCTTTGCTGCCTTTAGGGAAAGATCTGGGACAGAAGGGCAGAGGACATTAGGAAAGGGCACAAGTAAGCAGCACGAGATGAGACAGAAGCAAAACAAGAACAGATAGAAAAAAAGAAAGGATTGACATCAAAAGAAGCAATTCAGACATTTAAGATATCACCTGTACTGCTGGTATTTTAGTGCCTTTGAACACAAAAGTGGACTGAGAGATTGTGTTTGTGCTAAAATAAACTTTCCACAATGGCTGCAGTTGCAGAGGTGAGTGTAGATTAGATTACCCGTATATTCAATGTAAAAAGAGAAGAACGCCATTGTGCCAGATCTTTATTTGTGAAGATTTTGAAGCTGTTTACAGCTTCAGCGGTCTCTTGCCATGGCGCCAGTTTTGGTTTTAGTTTTGAGATATGGGTCTCTGAGATCTCCACAGTCATATAAACACAGTGGAGGTAAATGTAATTTTGTTTTTTAATGTTAAGAGCAGTGAAAAGATATTTTTCAAAGATCCAACAGCAACGTATCTTTTCAGATTTAATTTTGCCTCTTCCTCACTTTTAACTATTGACGGTCACTTTATCCAGAGTAGAGGAAGATTGTTTGTGGGAAGAGGACTCGCTGTTGATATTTTAAATGTTTGTTTTTGTTCGTTCTGCATGATGTTAGAGGAAAAATCTAAGACAGATCTCAAAACTTGAGCAGATAACACCCAAAACTATCTGCATGCAAAAATACCACAAGAGAAATGAATCAATGCAAGTTTTTCATAGATCATTTCAAAATCATAGGCAGTTCAAAATATGTCAGGGAAAAGCATTTAAGTTTGTCACAGCTACGAAAGCCAAATCTCCCACACAGAGATGAGTAACTGAAAACTCACCCATTCTCACTGAGGTCAGCCAGCGATGTCACCAGTTCATTATTAATGACCTTCTTGCTGACCTCGGTGTCCGCCATCATCAGAGTCCGTACTGTGCTACAAGCTGCCGCTATAGTGTCATCACTTTTTCCCATTTCCCGGGGGCCAGAGGAGAGGAGGCCTGTGAGCTCAGGCAGAATCTGCTTTGCTGCAGAGAAGACGAAGGAAACAGTAAGTCAGATGTATTTAGATTAAAACCACATTCATGCAGCTGCAACAGAGGTGACGGGCGCTATCAACATCTCATGCTTCTCCTCACCCATGGAGGTCTGCACACTGCTGGTCCGAGACATGTTATTCAGCAGGGACATGGCGGTCTTCTGCAGGCCAGAGTTCTGTGACTTTAACAGAGGGGTCATGTGCAGCAGAGCACCAAATTTCTGAACCAGGATCTGGCTCATGGCTGAGGACCCCTGCGACAAAAAAAAAAAAACAGCACAACACACAAAGGACAGAGGGAGGAAAAGACATCAGCTGTAGCAGGCCATATTTATCCTGTATTCGCATTGTGAAATCCAGTTGAGCTGACTTTGCAATTATCTGACAACTCATGCCTCCCACTTTCCCTTTTTCAAAGTTCTTTTCTTTCTCTAATTACCTCTGAATCCGCAGAGACAAACCTCCACCCTTTCCCACAAAACAAGTTTGTTCATCTTGTGAATAGCGCCGTTGTATCAGTAATCCTACCACCGCTCGGTTTCTGTTAATTTACTCCTCTCCTAAATCAACCTGAGATAATCCCGAGTGTCCATTTTTTGCACTCACCAGTCCTTTGTTGGCAGTGAGGTTCTGCAGGGCACCACAGCAAGCCTCCAGGGTGGAGTCTTTCTTGGACGAGCCCAGCAGAGACAGGTAGGTCTGCATGGCTTTGGGATGGCACAACCACTTTTGACCTGATGGGGTACTGTCCTCAAGCACTGCCCGATCCATGTCAAACATATACTGAAGAGGGAGGAAGACAGGAAGAATGGAAGTGGTGCTTGGATTAAAGGGCCTGCTATGATTTAGCCAACAAACACAGATGGGGGTGTGTCATGGCTGATTCCCACCTGCTTTTGAGCCTTGCTGCTCTTGGGGCTGAAGCATCCAACTGTGGGGCTTTTCCTACCCCCAGACTCGTCGTCTGTCCGAGGGTAGTAGTTGCTGAAGCACCCAGGGGCCTCCGACTCCAGTTGGTAGGTCAAGTTATGGAGGATGCATGCGCAGTTCTCCACAGACTAGAGGAGACGACAGGAGCAGTCATTAACTACGCTGTTAATCTTCTCATCGCCATTTTCACTAATAGCTCCACAGCACAGATGATCTGGTTTCTGTCTTACCTGCCACACTTATGCACATTTGTGTGTTTGAAGAGAAATAATAGCAAATGCAAAGATTTGAAAAATCATAAGAAAAAAAATAAATAAATAAAATGACACACCATCCACTTCTCATTGTCTACCACTATCATGATAAAGGAAGACTCCATATGTGGTTATTTGTCCTATGTTTGGAGGAAGGGGAAGGAAAAATACAAACTCTGCGTGTCACCAAATCCCTACAACAGAGGCAGTGAGTAGAATATAATCATACCAATGAACAAAAATACATTAGAGTAACACCCAGGTTGGAAGTTCCCTTTCATAGATCCAATTGATTAGGCAAACAGCTGACAGGTTCAGCTAGTATGTTCATTTAACAGGAAATGGATTAATTGCTCTGGACATACAGCAGAAACATTAACTTGACCAAAATGAATGAGATTAATTGAGGTAGGTTCAGTTAATGAGATAAAATGATCCTTAATCAAGAAGCCAGTGAAACACAATGACGCATACACAGTAAATGTGACTAAAGCTATTTTAGCATCAACAAGCACAAAGTGAACAGGGATTCCAGTTAGAGCTCACTACCAGAAGCTGATGTCTCGCCGTCACAGAGCCGACCAATAAGCAAAATATATTCTCTCTCTGTCTCTCACACAGACAACACGAAGCCATACAACACCAGTCATACTCTACTGCGTCATTAAAAGAAGCCTCTGTAAACAGCGCCAGCACAGACCTGGAATCAAGCACAGATCCACACCCAAAACTTCCACAAATGAGTGGGTACGCATCCAAGCAAACTAAGTCCGCACACATGCTGGTATTTACCTGCTTATTCATGTGTAGTGTGTTTATGGACGTGCAGAATGTGGGAGCATCGTCGGTGTGCATACATAACGTTCAAGGGGACGTGTGTGTATTTGTATTTGTAGTGTATGTGTGTGTACTTGTGCTTATAGCGATACTTAGCATCTGGGCTGAACACATGCTGTGAGAGACACATGAGACATGATTTACAGGAACTATGAGTAAACTAGTTTTAGTCAGCATGCTCGAATCCAAACACAGCTGTTCTCTGCTCTGCTCACACATCCACAACTCAGGGTTAGAGGGACAATGTGGACAAAAACGACAATGCAGTGAGCCAGAAAACCCAAAGTGTGGAATAATAAACAAACATTTCTATTAAAAAACTCTATGAACTGATTAATCATTCTGTAAAATATCTAAAAATAGTGAAAAAAAATACCTGTCACAATCTCCTTTAGCCCACTAACTTGATCATCAAAATAGCTGCTGATTGACTTATCGATTCACCGATTCATTGTTTCAACTCTATCTGACATTGTGTGTCATTACTGACAGTGATGATGATAGTGATGATGATGATGGTGGTGGTGGTATACAGGGGTGTGGAGGTAAAATAGATAACATCAGAAAAACATTTCAAGTAAACTGAAGATGATGCTGCAGCAGTGGGTTCAGAGGTGTACCTTGTCATCTGGGTTTTCCTCTGCCACACACGACTGAACGTAACTCATGAGGGAGTCGATGAGGCCAGGGCAGTCTCTCATTGCTTGCCTCTCCCTCTTCTTGGCACAGCTCAGGTTCCTACACACATCGTTCAGTCATTCATTTCATTTCAACTGCATGTGCCTCAACAGGCAAATTGCACTGTCCGTCACACCCTGTAAGCAAACTTGATCATGTTGATCAGGCAATGTGGGGCGCAGAAATTCCCAAGGCAGGATTTTTACCTTGCCAGTATTCAGTTGGTGCAATTGTAACTTTTGTTTTAATACGCACTAATATTATATGTGTATTAAACACACGTGGTCCTTCAGTTTAGGTGTTTAGCATCAGAACGACATAAATGATTTTTACAGGTGCCGGATCAGAAGACTCAAACTGAAGGCAGAAACCAAACAAAAGAGCTGCTCACTGCACTGAGAGGCTCCAACGCGTTTTTCATTATCTTACATTTTACATTGATTAATTTACCAGTGTTTAACTGATGAATCATTTCATCTGTAAAACGATTGAAAAATGCCCATCAGTGTTCCTGGTGATGTCTGCAAATGTCTTGTTTTGTCCGACCAAGATCACAAGTTCACCTTGGAGAAGCTTTGCTTAAAAAAAAAATGATTACGGAAATGGTTGCTGATTACTTTTCTGGCAAACGACTAATAGTTGATTGTCATCGAGATTATACAGAAGAATGTTGCTCTATCTAATAAAATGTATTGGGGATTATCAGTATAGATTGTGGGTCTTGAATATCACCCATCTAAAAAGGGTAGAGACTGGCGACACTGATCCTAATGAAATGTTCTCACCGCAGGCACCCTGTGGCACTGTAGAAGACGTCAGGGTGTATGTTGTTGTTGGTGCTGTTGTCTGACCAGCCGGTGAACGGCACCACCACATTCTCAGTCAGAGCGGGCAGCGCCGTCACTGTGAGTTCTTCCTTCAGCTCATCGCTGGAGGACAGGTTCCACAGCAGGCCTACAATATTGCAAGAAGAATTCAAGTACGAGTAATTAAAAAAATCAGTCATTTCATCCATGCATCATGTAGTTTCCTTTGGTGTTTGAATATGTTCCTAAAAAGATGTTGTGACTAACTGACTTTTCCTTCAAGACTGTTTTATTAAATTTATAAAATACTGGACAAAATGGTTTTTGCACATGATTATGGATATGCTACAGTACGGGAGAATATTAGTGCTAGGCTTTTCTTAGTTTTTACATACACTATGTGGTTTATTCAACCCCCATTTTTCAATGTTCTCACTGGCATCATTATTAGGACTACTTGATTTATTCTCCCTTCTCTACTAGTAAATGCAACAATTGAAATACCGTTGGAGACTGTAAGAAACTCTAGTAAACTTGAAATGTGCTTATTTTAACACCCTACTTCCCTTTATTATTGTCTTTTTCTTTCTATTTCATTTTACTCTACTTTATTTTTCTCTTTTTTAAAGTGTATAGGACTTGAATTGATGAACTCTGGGTAAAGAGCTTTGTGTGTATACTTGTTTTCCATGTGAAAATTGGGAAAGTAACCCTTAAGATAAAGCAAGCCAACCTGTGTTGTGTACACCCTTATCTATTGCCCCTGGTGACCTGATCTGTTCTGTTATGTTCGCTGATGTATTTAATTTGCAATCTTTACTAAAAAACAATATGAATAAATAAAGAAAAGCATAATGTTGTGAAGCTCATGTTCTTGCTCAGTGTATGTGACATTTTTTTCTGTAGGTTTTAGGGATAGGGAATATGTTTGATATTCTAACCCAGGATTAAAACCCCACCATGTCTCACTTTCAGCCAACATTTTGAGGTCCCGTCTCAATGAAATGTCCTACCTGTGATTTGTTTCTGAGTATCAGTAGAGTCGGTCTCCTTTAGGAGCTGCAGGGCCTTAGCTATACCACCGCAGTGTTGAACCTCCAGCTTGTTGTTCTTGTCCTTAAACACCAGGTTCCTCAGAGCCCCGGCAGAAGCCTGGCTCACCGCTGGGTTGGGGCTCCGCAGCAGGGTCACCAGAGCGGGGATACCCTCCAGTTGGAAGACCTACGACACAGAGACGTGGAGGGAACGGGTGAGGAGACTTTACAGGCGTGGCATTATATTGACAGCAGTGTAAATTACAAACAAAATTATCAGCCAAGCACAATGATAAACGCTTTCTCCTCCCTTTCCCTCAAGGCAGGTTACACAAAGGTCCTCACAGAGCGCTCCCCTGCTTGTATGTCTACGGTACAAGACTATCCCCGCACAAATGCGGTGTGAAAACAACACCGCAGTGCATGTGTGCAAGTCTCCACTAGAAGCTTTAACAGTAAGTTTAAATGTACGTGCGCTCAGACCTCCTGTTTGGCACGCTCCTCATTGAAGGTGGTGTGTTGGATGAAGGTGGCCCCAAACTGCTGGAATTTCTCCTCGGGGTGAGACAGGTACTCTACAGCCTCCTTTAGGGTCACGTCTGACACGTTTATCCCACTGTTCACCCTAGAGAAGAAGAAATCAGACACTTAATTAATCACCAGTTCAGTAAACAGCAATGGATCGAATTTAGTTTGGGAAAATGTTTCTGATACGAAAAATGAGCGTCTAAGGAGCCAGGTGAACTCACGCTGTCTGCTGAAGCGCTTTCTTAGTTATTTTGATGGTTCCCATCTTGCCCTCAGTGTGGGACTGGGCAGAGGGCGGCCGGACGATGCGTGTCTGGCTGTTGGTCATCTGAGTGCCGTTGGTCAAGGAGTAGGTGCTGTGTCTATTGACTCGAGTCTGGATGGCGTGCTGGCTATGGAATGACTGCCCCTTGGCTCTCTAAACAAAAAGCAGTTTACGATGCTCATTTGGTACTGTGGGCTACTTGCGATGTTTTTTTGGTTTACACACATTTTGCATAATATGTTTAGGTATTTCAGTGGCAATTCAGGTTAGAAGAGAATAAGAATCAGTGATCACCATGACAGGTGCAGGGGCAGGAGAAAATGGAGGAGCCAAGGTGGGGTCACTGCGACTGGGTTTCAGCCCATTGGGACTCTTCGGCCAGTTGGAGCCTTGGATTTGCTGCTCCCATGTGCCCGACGCGCTGAAAGGTCCCACGGTTTTAGTGGACAGAGTGCGACTCCTCTGAGTGTTTATCTAAAAAGAAAGAAAGCGTGGCATCATGAGATTTACTTCCATAAAACATTTCATCCAGGGCTCTCCAGAGGATGATTGGTTTTTAAAACGGCAGGGCTTACGCAGCACTTTATCTAGGTTAGTTTGAAAAATACACACATGACACATTGTAAGAAGTCCACAGCAGCCGGTCGTGGAAAACTGTAGCTTAGCTGTAGCCTGAAAACACTGTATAACCTTAAGTTTTCCCTGTAGCAACATTCAGGGTCAGAAAAAAAAAGGAAAGTGAGTAACCCACTTTCTACAAGAGCAGTTTTCAAAGACATCTCCCTGTTAACCAATACAGAGGAATTTAACCTGGCACAAAGCCTGCATACCTCTTTTCCTTCCTTCTCACTTTATGTCGATGGCAGCAGAATCCATTAAACGATCACACAAACCAAGGTAACGCAATATCTGTCATTGGAGACTGACTCATTGAAGCTGTGTGCATTGTAAGACTGCTGGCGCAGTCGAGCAGTTTCTCACAGAGGGGCTTTGTGTGTAAGTCAGACACAGCACTCATTAACGTTCACAATCCTGGTGTCACTAAACTACTTAATCTCCTGTAATTATGCACTGTTATTCTATGTTTACTTTAATTTTTTGGCTTTGTGTGTGTGTGTGTGTGTGTGTGTGTGTGTGTGTGTGTGTGTGTGTGTGTGTGTGTGAGAGAGAGAGAGAGAGAGAGAGAGAGAGAGAGAGAGAGAGAGAGTGAAAGTCTTTACAAAACACACTATTCAAGCTTTGCCACACAATAACCAAGAAAGCAACTTGGCACCGCTGGAGCTTGAGCACAATGACAGAACATGTCTTGTCACTGTTTTAGGGATTAGTCATTCTTGCAATTAAAAGTTTGTCTCTATTGGTTTTTTGAAAAATTACAGTGTGAAATGTGACATTTCTGGAAGAGAAAAAACATTCCCACCGTTCTTTGAGCACATTGGACGTTAGTAAAGAGGAAGTGGTGTGCACCATTGAGACAATGAAAGGAAAAAAACGGCCCTTTCCCCTCACCCAGAAATCACGAACATCAAAGATTACCAACTCGCGAGAATTTTTTCACAGTTAATCAATGCAGCTGACATGTTGACATTTTGATTTGCAGAATTTGTCAGGAAGGGGATAGCCACTAAACTGCCTCGTTCTCGCTCTGTCTACCAACTCTCTTTCCTGTTTCAAAGTGGACTGGTTGCTCAGTTACCATCTATGCACAAGCCCTGTTACTTAGCAGCAAAAGCATGACGGAGGAGAGATCTGTCAACAATATGTTTGATAAGAACTGACAGCGTGTTTACTCTGCAGGCGCTGCAAGTTCCCTTCATTTGGATAAGGACGGACTGAGCCACCGGGACCTTTAATACATGTGCAAATTCTGCTGAGCAAATAGAAGCAGCACAGAGAAGCAGGATGAGGTTTCTGTCTGATAACATACATTTAGATAAAAACACTAAAATATACTAACGACAATGATGCAGAAAATGTAACTGAGATTATGATTGATGATTATTGAGCTAATGGTGAAGCAATAGGTAGAAGGCACACTGACAGCACATGGCAACCATTATTAAAGGTAAAAAAAACAAAACATCAACTCATCAAACATGGAGCTTTTTGTTTCGATTTATGATCAAGCAATGTCAGCAGCTAAAAACTGCAGCACTGCAAAAATATGATTGGATTGCTTACAGTTTGGTGTGCATCAGTTAAACTGTCAGTCATTATTCTGCCTGGAAAACCCGGAACTTCACGTCCACAAAAGCAAGCAGAAATCTTCTGATGCCACTAACTAACAGACAGAAACTGAATTGGCTGATTTGTGGTCACTAGCTCTGCAATGCCACCCACGTATTCATTTTTGCCCGTGGAATTTAGATAAGGTGACAGAATCAACATGCACATAATAAAAACAGGAGGTGACAGATGCGCATACAGTGGTGTGTGGTGATAAAGAACCTTCATCACCACACTCCCTAGACATGCCTCAACTCACTGTCAGTAGGTCAGGCCAGGCTAACCCACAGTCACGCACACACACATATACACATACACACATACACACACGCACACAGACACACGCACACACACAAAACCACACTGATGAAGTCAACATTAATCCTGTGTGGAATTTGGATTAGTCCAGGGCTACAAATGAGCTGAACTCTCTCTGACTCTTAGTGAGAAGACTGAAATTAAGAATGACACTCAAAAACAATATCTGTCCATTCCCCAAAAATGAGGAAGTTGCATGCACACCTGGTTGCTAGATACAAAAGCATGCTGTGTTAACTGTTCATTATATTCACACAGTCGCACTACTACATACACACACACACACACACACACACACACACACACACACACACACACACACACACACACACACACACACACACACACACACACACACACACACACAAAATCCACACTTGCATCTATGCACAAACACAACACTTAAATAAAATCAAACCGATTGAAAATGGATTCAGGGTAATTGTTAGTTTTCTAGGGCAAGGATCATAAGAGGTGAAGACACATTAATAACTTACTGGTTTTGGGGGGTCTGAGTCGTGGCAAAGAGAGCCAGGGGCAAGCAACATTTCGGTATAATGTTTTACTGAACAATGTCATAAATCACCTGTGGGCGTAGAGGTGGGTATGGACAGTAGGGACATCTCCCTCACAGTGTCAAGGTGTTGCTGAAGTGTCTCTACCAAGATATTTAAGCCGCATTAGGCATCGTTGACCAGCGGCAGCAGCAGTAGTGGAGTAGTTGTCAATCCAAAATGGTCAGTATTTAAACTTAAAAGGTTTCAAATGTCACAGAATTGAAAACGTCTTCGGTTCACTGGACAAAATGAACATCAATTGATATTATATTTAAATTTCCATGGTTAAGTGCTCGCTAATTTGTAAGGCTAAAAGACATCAGATCCTTTTTATAGAAGAACTGAAGTGTAAGTAACAGCTGAGCTCAGATAATAAGAATGTTCTGTAATCAATTTAAATATTTACTATTTAATACCATATTTCCCCACTTCCATAAGTGGATCAAGAGCAGAGTTATTACTGCATAAGGGTCATTAACACATGTGCATTAATTATAAGGCAAATTAGCCACAGCTTGTCCAGCTCTTGTTTGTTGGTGCGAGGTATCATTTTATTTTGAGTCTTGCCAACAGTTAGATGAGAAAATGGATCCCTCTCTCGTCTAGCTGGAGCCAAAAGCCAGTTAGCTTAGCTTAGCATGAAGACTGGCAACCGGGGGGAAACAGCTCGCCTGGCTCTGTCCAGAGGTAACAAAATCTGCCTACCAGCTCCTGTTAACCTGATGCACCAGGTGGTACAACCTGTCATTTTTACACTTTGGTCTTTGTATGCATTGAACAAACAAGACATAACATGTTCATTGGTGAGCCTTTATAGGAACTGACAGGCAGACTTTGTTGTCTTTCCATGTCTTTATTGTAAGATTTGGTCCTGTAATGCAGAGACTGTGAACGGGAGAAGGGTTTCTGCTTGCATTATCTCTACAATAATGAATGGCGCTGTTACAAGAAAGAAACAAATACCGTTTTGTTGAAGCCCGATGACATAGTGGAGCTGGTGCGGCTGAAGGTGCCATTTGCTTTGGACGGAGAAAACTTGAACGATCCAAAATCGACGCATGATGTCAAATTCTGCGGTATCGGGCCTGTTGACAGAGAAGACGTGTAAGACAAAGAAACAAAATGCAAGACTGACAGGCTGACAGAAAAAAAAAATTAAACAAAGCTATTGAAACACACCTATTTTTGATCGATGCCAAGGAGGATAATAGCCTGCATTGAGGATCAAGCTGGCAAGACAACATGAGGGTTTGTGCTGGCTTTATATGGGCAACAAATTCCATCACACTGATATTTGTTCAGATTAAAAATGTGTTTTCAGTTTTGCTATTCGTTATTATGAGATGTAAATTATTATGTTTGTAAAATATCCATCCACATGTTCATGGTGATTTCTGCTTCCCAAAGACTTGCAGCGGTGTGGACTGTGCCCTTTAAAAATGTTTTATTATTCGTTTATTATTATATATAGAAATCTCACAACCCAAATTCATCAAGTACAGACACATCAGACTGACTCAGGTGTGTACCACTGGATAAACAGTCTGCTTCCCTGGTTTATGTTGGACAAAGTCATTTTATTGTTTTATCTTTATTTTATCTTAAGGTTTGCTTTCTTTATCACATCCTGCCTTTTATTTCTGGCTTACATCTCCTCTGGTTTAGTCTTTTATCTTTTTCTTTTTTTTTTCCTCTTTGGTGTTTCCTTGTTGCAAATGTATGCGACTCATGACAGTGTTCCATCAGTTCCTGTTCTTAATGCTTTTATTGTGTAGAGCTCTTTGTGTTACATTGTATAAAAAGTGCTACACAAATTAAGTCTGGTTGATTGAAATCAAGTTTAAAATGGATTTAAAAACAAATTAAATTGTCAAATTGTCAAAATTGTCAAATAAACTGTATTAGATTAATTTCAAATATTTGATACCTAAATTAAAAATCTGGAATTCAATGAAACCTACATTTAAAAAAAAAAGAGAAATGAATATCCAGTTACATTTAAGAGGTATTTAAAAGGAAAATTAAAAGGTGGATTTTTATCATTATTTGCAATTTGATTAACTCATTTATTTATTTTTCATTTGCTAATGCTGTACATTTAATTTGGTGGCCTTGTCTATGCAAAAAAATTGGTAAAGTTTTTTTTACAGTTATTGATTGATACAGTTTAATTGGATTGATTTACTGATGGATTTTTTTTAATTTGTAAAGTATTTGATCAAATATATGTATATTGTCAGATTAAAAATCAATGATTGAATTGGTTAGTAATTTGAGCTTTTAGTGGATAGCATCATCAATTGTAAAATCATTTTGCTCTATAACTATTTTCACAGCTTAGAGGACCTTATACCTTAGACCTTTACACACATATTACAGGCTTTAAAATCAATATACATGTCTGCCAATCCTTAAATCAGACAGAGAGATAGACATGACATCATGTCAGTCACGTTGTGTGTGTGCTTAAGAAAATCCACCGTTTACCTGGGAGCATGTTTTAGCACCTATGCCTGTCTGTTGTGTTGGATGATTCATGTGAATGTGAAGCTCATTGCTGTTCTGTGCCAAAAGTAAGGCTGACACTTCACCATTACAGGATTACCGCAGTCAAAACTATGGAATAATCATCAGCGTGAACATATGTGAACTGTGCAGGAAAGGAAGAAGTCTTCCAAAGGGTCAGTTCACCTAGATCATGAAAAAAAGCCCACGTTTTTTCTCTTGGCTTTCTGTGCAGCCAAGCAGATTGTTTCAATTTTATATGCTGAGATTTTCAGAAATCTGCCTCTGAATCTTCTGCTGCCACTCAAATAAATGCAACAGCAGCATGTCTTTCCGAGAACCAGATACTGGGGATAATTAACAGACTAGTTTTTGTAGAGTCGATTTCTGTGACAGAAAGTAGTTTCATCTTGCACACTGAAGAAGGCAAAGCTGAATCATATGTGCATTTCCCTCCCTTGTGCTAAACAGAAAGTGAGAGAATAAAGCTAAAAGAGCATTCTGATTGATTCGGATGAACAAACTCTTCTTGAAGGCCAACTTGATGGACTTTTGACCATGCATGCAACCCCCCTCTCCTTTTGTTTTTAGCTGAGCATAATGACTTTTTTCCTCTACCTTCAACTCTTTGAGCTCTGCACAGAAAGCGTGGCTTGATAGCACTCGAGATAAGAGAGACAATATGCCTTTTGTAACTTGGTTGACCTGACAGACTAGATAGGAATAGAATAGGAGGAAAATCCACAGTGGCGATTTTAGTTGGTGTCCAGCTAATGTCCGAGTTTATCATCTTTGTTGTGACAACATTGTACGTAAAACAGCAGTGTTTGAACAAAATAATTAAATATTACTGTGTGCGTCACATAAACTAGGAATAATGTTCCAATGACCATGTTTTTTTTATATTAAAGCTTAGAGTAGCTGGATAACCTGAGGGGTGCGTGCAGCTCTAACCTTGTGGCTGTTTTCCTTATTATTCAGTGTTTGTTTACTGCTTTGTGGTTCCTTGACATTTGCCCTGGGCATATTATTCCAAGCCAGGTGTTAAGATTAATTTTAGAAGCTTTGCGTTTTCTTTAGTGCAATTAGTTTGTCTGAAATGGTGTTTATATAACAAAAGACAGAATGATAAATATGGACATAAAGGGACAAACCAATTTCAGTTTTCACTGTAAAGAGTTCATTTTGAAGCTATTTATTGTTTTGAAGTGAAGTATTTACTCTTCAGTTTAAAGTTAAGGACTTCTTTACTTGGTTGTTACCTGGTTTGCCTCTACATCACTTATAAGGACTACATTTTGCTAAAAGTTGCAGTCATTAGATGAAGGTCAGTTTTAAACACGCCAGAGGTGTCCTTATCATGTGTGCCACAAATTTCACAATCACTTCAAACAATGACAGTGTCAGTGAGACCGTAAAACATAATACAGATAGCCTACTTTGCAAATTACTACAGTAACAAAGGCTACTGATATGTTTACCTGTTGCCCTATAAAAACCACGCACTGCATTGCAACTCAAGTGGAGGAGGAGCTGCGCACATTTCACGATAAAAAATATTTGGTTTCTCAGTTTTGGTGGATCTTTATAACGCCTCTTGCAGTATTGCCAAATAACAGAGTTGTTTCGAAAGACTTCAACGTAATTTTCAAAATGTGTGCGTACGTGTGTGTGTGTGTGTGTGTGTGTGTGTGTGTGTGTGTGTGTGTGTGTGTGTGTGTGTGCGCATGAGTGTGTGTGGGCTGCATTCCTCTCTCACAGGGAGAAACAGCTCAGACTCGCACAGGATAACCAGGATTGTTTCTCAATGCTGACGCTGAAGCTCACACTAACACCAGTCACAGTGATGTTCACCAGCAGCCAGAGATTACATTTTACATCGGTGGTATGGCTAAAGTCTATTTGACCAACCTACACAAAAATCTAATATTTAGTCTGGTTATTCTCCCACATTAAGAAAAAACAGCATCCTGTTTGATGGATGCAACTACCACCTCTGGATAAGTTTGGTAATTCGTGGAGTTCACAGGAAACACTAGTTACATAATAGTGTTACAACTGATAGTTAAAAGTAATTCACTATATGAAGCTTAAACCAAAAAATGCGGTATTATTCTTAACAGTGTGAGGTTTTAAAGTTTTTTTTCCGTACTTGTAGGAGAGGGGGACAGCGGGTCGTTCTTCCCGTGCTTGGACTTGCCCCTCTTGATGGTGTGCACCTGATCCAGCACGCGCTGCTGTCCAGAGCGCAGCTTGTTGTCGGAGGGCAGCGCGAGCGACGTGTCCTCCGAGCACCTGATGGTCATAGCTGATCGCAGCGGCTCCGGAGCCATCATTTTCCCGGATCAGTGCGCTTCCTGTGAACGGATCGATTAAACCAGTTTCTCCCGCGAAAACAAACAAACAAACCCCGAAGTGCAGAACCAGAAGAGGAGAAGTGCGGCTAGACTCAGTGAAGTGAATGCAGCGGATGTGCCAAGTATGTAGATAGGCTTAGTGTTCCCAGAGCGGCAGCGGTGAACTCCACCCCGCGGGACCGCGCCCAGTCGAGGTGGGACCAGGAGTGTTCACATGCAGGTGCGGAGTGAAGGGAGGGGCCGAGGCAAAGACTCATGTATTGAAGTTATGTGTACAGTGTGTAATATAGAGCAGCTAGCATTTACTGTTGTAACCCATATTTCTTGGCCGGTAGCGTCCGCCTGTCTCTCTGGGCTGTAGGTGACAAACACGCTAACAATTTCCTTTTTAGTAATCTTCTATAATCACCAACGACACGGCAAGACAGCAGACTCGACTTTACTCTGTTCTCAACATATGCAACTCATAGACTGCCACATTCACACCTGTCCCCCTGCGAGCAATGGCAGGTGGAAACCAAAAATGCTCCACACTAAAAGGGTTGTAAATAACCTAATTAAATGTTACACTTACCAATTATGTATATGAAATAATAAGTACTGCAACTGATAATGAAATTAGATTATAAACTCAAATAAGATTGCAACACTAATATAGCCAACAACACAAATTTATATGGTAAGCTTATATTTTAAATAATCCAAATGTGTACAATAATTAAGGTTACACTGTTGTGGTATAGTGGGATGTCTTTTTCTCTCTGTTCCCCTCCTACCTGTCACTATATAGACCACACAATGAAGATAGACAATGACAACAGACATGTACAATGTAATGAAAGAAATCATACATTTTCAAAGTTTATAAAGTAGGGGAGTAACTAAGTATTTCGGTTACTCAAGAGAATTTCCATTCTATACTTGTAACATATATCACGCTCTTTCTCAAATGTATTTATTTGACAGCTACAGTTACTAGTTTTTCTGATTAATATTTTCCATACAAAACATGATGATGAGCTTCTAAAATAAAATGAAATATATATATATATATATATATATATATATATAGATGTATTATGGTGCCTTAGTAGGGATACATTTTGAGTTACAAATTTATAACTTTTTTATTATTTATACATTTTTAATGATTTATATTTTATTGATTTTGCTACATAAACAAAAATAGTCTAATAAGCTAATCATGCAAAAACTTATGAAAACAAGGAAAAAAGAAAAGACTCGCCTATATGAACACACAAAAACATCTGCATGCATGCACCCACATACATAAATACAAATCCACACACAAATATCAAACATTTAGTTTGTTTATTTTCATTCTAGGTTTTGTTTCCATCTATTAGTATGGGTGACTTTGCACAATCTAATTGATTGTTGAGGACAGAGGAGAGACAGGTCAGGGCATGAGCAAATGTAAGTCAACTTGAGAAGAGAGCAAAGGAGACGGGAGGAATCAGAAAGAAAAGGAAAGGGATGAGCGACAGGGAGAACAGAGAAAGGAGAGAAAAAAGAGATAATATGAGCACATGCCCTCTGCATAACCGGATTGTTTTGGCTACGTTTCTTCAGTCGACATTTTCCCACCACACCTTAACCTCAACTCTGCCAAGCTAATAAATACATGCCATGTGAGTAATGTACCTTTTATGTGTGTCTCTGTGTGTGTGTGAGATCATGTATAGTATGTCAAAGTGGTTGCAGATAAACTCAGTCCCTCTTGGTTTATTCCTACCAGAGTTTTTATCTGAGAGAGAGAGAGAGAGAGAGAAAGAAAGACTCATGAGAGAAGAATGAGAAAAGCCATGACTATAGTTTACTGATTAAAGGTGAGACACAGCCACAAGCAACCTGTTAACTATGTTAGCTATATTCTTGCTCTGAGGAGTTAAGTACCACACCCTGCCTGAGGGCTTTGTGTGCAAGTCACAGTTCACCACTTACAGTTTTGGTAACATGGCTTTGGTAAGTGGAGCATTCATTGACAGATAAAACTCTAATGTCCAAAACAAAATGTGTGAGTGTGTGTGTGTGTGAGAGATAGCGAGAGGAATCCTGGAAGTGAACAGGTTGTTTATAACCTTGACAAAGTTACAATGAGGACATCTCTAAGTATCCAAGTATCGCTCTAAAGCTTTGCTATGTTTACTGCAGTTCTAGGTAACATTGAACACTAACATGCTAGTGTGGCCGATGTGGACAAGTCTAGTCCACGAGTCTGCTCAAAACACAAGCAAAAGGTGCGCATGGTCACCACTGCTATGCAGCTTGGATGTAGAGAATGTGGACTGCTGCTGGAATGTGTGTGAAGTCAAACCTCTTATCACTTAAACCTTGCCGTGTCCACATTGGAAGGCTGCCAACACGTATGTGATGTGCTGAACATTTTATGATTTTGAAAGATCCTGAAAAGGGTTGAGCTTTCAGGTGGATTAAGAGGCGCACGCGCATGCACGCACACACACACACATACACACACACACACATACAACAGTGTATCGTTATCACCTCTGGAGGCTCAAAGAGGAGGTATGCAACTTGTGTTAAAATACATTTGACGTGATCTTGACTGATGAGATAGCAGAAGCTTTGCTGCTGATAAATGTCAACCTCTGCCCTAAAGAAGTAGCATATTAGTGGTATGTATACTATGTAGCTGGTATCATTTGTCCATCGCTTTTCTAATAAGTAACTTCTCCCTGCAACATGGTTACCCTCCTTGAATAGTGCACACACTGTATAAAAGCTTATTGTATAGCTTTCTCATTGGAAAATTTTAGCAAATTTCCCCAGTGTGGGAATAAAGGAAAGGAATATTTTATCTTAAATCACCAAGCACACAATATGAATAATCTATAGTAACATAAATGTGATATGTGCACTTAACTTACTCAACATTAACGAATCATAACATCAATAACAGAACTGAAGGAGCTTCTTGGATGAGATGAAACATTTTTGAGTATCTCTAACCCTCAAATGAAATGTTTCTTCATAACATTCATAGCACTGTTTGATTTTACATGTACACACCAACATCTGTGCAACCACATGGCTGTTATATAAACGTAAAATGAATAATGTTACGTAACTGAAGGAAACATGATTTTTGTGAGAGTGAGTGACAAGTGAAGAGGCACACTGATTGCCTGAGGGCATTATGTATGTGGAGAAGGTGAAGTCTGAACGTGATAGTGCTTTAGATTTTCAGATACACGGCACTCAACTGCCAACTGATCATATCCACGCTTACAATGCTGTGATAAAATTGAGGCGACAGCACCACCTGGCAGACCACATGAGAACTGCAATATCTTTGGTATAAAACTTTGGAGGGTGAATGGTAAAAATGACTAAGTGAGAGTAATTAAATTGAGATCATAGACGTGGGGTCTTACTCGAGATTTAGGAATTAGGATTTCGGCTGGGTATTTTTTATGATACTTTTGTTCAAATTATACAGTACAGGTACAAAAATGACACTTTAATACCTTATGAGTTTTTTCTTGATTTAGATAAATGTCTTTCAATGCATCAGTGTTAAATGTTGTATACACACACACACACACACAAGTGACTGTACAGGAGCATTGCAAAATTAAAACTATAAATCTAGCAAAAATTGTATTAGAAATTCATTTAACAAGGGTATTAACAGTTAAAAGCTTCTTCTTTTTTTTTTTTTAAAGATTTTATTAATGATGATTTCCTCTCTCAAAAAGTTGTCTAGTTGTTACTACCAAGACTAAAGACTACATGATTCTGCAAACACTGTGATTTTATTGGTACAGCATGAAGGCACAGATTTAATTCACTGAGCAGACTTGACCAAAGGAGTGATGAGGCACAGCCAACCAGAGTACACGGACAGGAAAGAAATAATAAAATAAAAACACTTTTGGCCGACCACACAATGAATATTAAATGAAGATGTTATGTTAAAACTGAGCCAGCTGGCTCTTACTTTCATGATACAAAGTCAAAAGACAAGTCATTACTTTCCACATGGTTAAAAATTATCCTGCCAGGAGAGGGCGTGATAGTGTCAAGTAAGATTTACCATAAAAAATGCTGGTAGCCATGTGTACCAGAAATCCAAAACATTACATAGAACAAAAGAAAAAAAAAAAGCAAGTGTCAGTTGGATAGTTTGTTAGTGTTGTCAGGCAAAAATCTACCCCAGTGCACTATGGGTAACCTTAGTGTGGTGTGTACCAGACATCATTTTGCATACATCAAAAAAGAAAAAAAAAAACTGAAACACCCATCATTTATGATGTTAAGTGTAACACTTCTAGCTGTGCTGGTAAAATACAAAAAAGATCAAAGTTCATCTTTACAAAAACGAGTCTTTTTACCTTGTTTTGGCTTATAAAACAGTACCATTGCAAGTGTAGTGTACACGTCCTATACATCAGTGCTCCTCAGGTTAAGGCTTTATGAACCAAAGCACATTCTTATCCCAACTCACGTGGAGGTAGAAATACTGCAGCAAGCCCACACAGTCAGAGTAAAAACAGTATCGTGTCTATGAACAGTAAAGGTAATTCTTTCATTCAAAAATGCTGCTGACACCCAAGTGTGAACTGAATCTCAAACTGTGAACCATTTTGTTGTTTCCAAAGACAAGTGAGTCAAACTTTTGAACACTTCCTTGAGATTTGAGCAAAATCTTTCCCTCCACATCACGTACCACTGGAAACCTTTGAACAAAAACACCTAAAATAATGGCTCTCTTTACACCTTTGACACTGTGTTTCAAATATAAATACGACTTGTATGTCTTTACATGTAGTGCATTATATTTTGAGAAGAGGCACACTCATTCTTTATGTCATATGATCCTTAAAAGTTTTGATTGAACAAACTGAAGATCACAACTCCACTTAAAGCAGTGATAGAAGATACACCATTATAGGCTCATTCAATTCCTACCATACAGAGACAATACAAACTGTAGAAGAAATAGTCATTGTGGCAGAGTTACATTAACACTGATTAAATGATTTGTTTGCCAACCTATATTCAAACTCGTCTCACATCAGTCACACCTATGATGTAAATGCATATGCATGAAAAATTCCTTAGAAATTCATGATTCATTTTAATGCATCACAGATGCATCCTCATTGTAAGTGATGGGAGAATATCCCATATTAAACTAAACGTTTTTCTTCTCTTTTATTTGACCTTTTCATCATATTTGTCAGTGAATTAAATTTCTCATTTAAAAAGAAAAGGCTAATGAACTGTGACGTTTTGAGCCTGACATTGAGAGAGTGTGCACAATCAGTTTCACAAGGTGAGACATTTTTGTGGCTTTAGTGTTTTAAGTCATGGGGTGTTGTAGACAGATGTGGGCCTAGATTGCAGCTATGGAAATGCATACACATTAAACAACAGGTGTGACTACAGTGGGACTGTTGGTCTGTTAAAACAAGAGTGCGTTTAGAATAGAGGAGTGGGGTTTCTGTGTGTTTGAGCTGGAAATAGTGTTTATGCTCTATGCATCAAAAAGTCTGTGGAAAGTCTCTGCATGCACGCAACGTGCTGCTAGTCGTTAACTAGTCGATAAACATGGTACTGCGCTCCATGTTCACTAGTGGATACTTCAAACACAAAGGCGATGCACAGCAGAGTCTCCTGGGTTTCTCTGTTGGACACCACCTAGCAAAGGACAAGAGAAGAGGAACATATAGTGGGGGGTAAATAATGACATGACAATGACAATAATATGTGAACAAGCACTAGTCCAGAGATAGAGATGAGGGAAATAGAAATAAAAGAAGTAAAAGAATTTAAAGGAGAGAAGTATCAACTGTAATCTGGTGAGCATTAAGATAAGTTCAAAGACTTCAGGAGAGGGACCTGATCCTCATTAGGGATGGTATTTTAACTTTAAAAAGGAGTTTCAAGGAAAGCTATGGTCAGGTTTTCTCTATCATCGTTTGGTTTGGTAATCTGAGTGCAGCTGAAACAAATGCATTAGAGACAACAGTTGAGGCTGCGCAGCCTCCCATCTCTCTCCTCTATCAGATTAGACTTCACCAAAAGGCTGTGATCATCATTATAGATGATTTTTACCCCATATCTCCCCTCTTTGAGGAAGTGCCCTGTGGGAGCTGGTATTACGTCTCAGCTCCTCAAGGCAAGTTACTAATGATGTTTGTTGTAATGGCAATATAAATAAATAAAGTCAACCCAGCTCAGCTCAACACACAGACACACACCTGTAGTATGGTGAAGTTCTCCAGTACACTGTTCATCATGTATTTCTCTGGCAGGTGTTTAAGTTTATGGATGAAGTTGATCATGTATTCACACATGGGCGAACGATGGATACGGAACACGTACTTTCCTCCTTCCATATGTGCATATTCTGTCTGGATGGGGAGGATTCCACACACATGTGTCACAATTAAAACTCATGTTGATACTGGCTGATATGACATACTGTGTGTGTGTGTGTGTGTGTGTGTGTGTGTGTGTGTATGTATATGTGTGTGTGTGTGTATGTATATGTGTGTATATATATATATATATATATACATACATATATATATAAAGAATACTGGGTTCATTTTCTCACCTCAACCTTCTCCACCACCTGTTTACCAAAGGAGCAGACCTTTGTTGAGACACTGATGGTGATGTTTTCTGTTCCACTGTACTGGCTGCTCACACCGTAAAAGGCACCAGAACCCTCCTCAATGTCACTGCTCAGGTCCGCCTGGAACAACCACACATAAAATAGACAGAAAGTAATAGTGAAAAGAGAAAGAAGAGTAGAGAAAAATCAGAAAACGCCACCACCTCAAGTAAATGTTTGTATTTTCCTGTGATTCTACATGTGTAGGTCAAATTATATGCTTTAAGCAACACAAAAAAAGAACTTAAAGTGCATTTCTTGTTTTCTTGCCTATCAAAATTAAATTTTAATAAATACCTAACACTTATACCTAACACTTATACGACGCTCAGGCTATTCGGCATTTCTCTTTTATTTGGTTTTATTTTTTTGTAAAGCACTTTGTAGCTTTCTTAAGAAAAGTGCTATATAAATAAAAATATTATTAGTATCATTATTTTTATTGTATTTTTTTTTATTAACAAGCAACTACTAATGAAGAACTTTCCTGTTTAAACCCTTGCTTCAGCATCACCTGAGCTTTGCTTCCCCCATGTGGCGTAGTAGGGTATAGCCTCAAACTGTAAAACAGCAATGTAATATACAACCATCTATGATGCAATAGATGGAATACAATCATTGCACCATTCCCAGATGATTCCCTGCATTCTTGTTATAATTTGTCAAATTCGCTGAACATTCACAAACACGCCTCTCAAATTCCAGGTTATTAAAAAAAAAAAAAAAAAAAAATCTTGTCTCAGTGGGAACTCTAAGTTTTGTGTACTGACCCAGAACTTGACAAGGAAGAATGCATTGTGCGGCCCTTTTTCATACAGCTCCTTCAGGCCTCCTTTCTTCTCAGAGAACTTGTCGTAAATCTGCCTCACATCTATGGACTCCAAAACAGGGTCGTTGTAGCTTGGGTTCGATGGGCCAATGTGTACAAAAAGGTGTTTGTACTGTTGGAAGAAAGGAGGATTGGTAAGAAAGACAGGAAAAAGGGAGAGTCAAAATTTTTACATTGTTGACTTTTCATTAAAAATGTCTGGATGTCTGCACCGTCTCTCTGTCTCTCTGGGTCTCCATAAAAGCAGAGTACTCCAGGAGCCGTAGTTTTGCTGAGGCAATGGTTCGGTCTTGCCATACAGGAGCTGCTATAGCTGCAGGGCGAGGGGGTGGGAGGGGCTCATAACCTGCCAAACATTGAAACCAGGAAAACACAATTAACATGACTATGATCACAGAAATTAGTCAAATCAGTCAATTTGTGTTCACACTTACTGATAGGTGCAGGGACAGGGGCTGGTAGTGTAGTGTATGGTGGCTGTGCAAAGGGCTTAATGCTGTAAACAGAAGAGACACTCAAAAATGAGCAACCGTGCGGGCATAATCATAAAACTTTCTCCAATTTTAAACAAACAAAACCAACTAATCTGTCAGTTATACTTACTCCTGAGAATGTCCAGGCTGTCCTGGCACAGGGCCGGGCCAAAACTACACAAAGGAAAGAAGGGAAAGAGGGCAGATAGTATTACTCAGACTTTTACCCAGAAGGTAAAAAAAAACAGATGTGTGTGTGCGCTTGTGTGTTTGTGTCTCACTCTGACTGGTGGAGGGAAGGGAGTCTGGGGTTTCATTACACTCGCAGACACAATCTGAGCTGATGAGAGGTTGGCTACTGTCTGCAGTGCCTTGTCTTTGGATACCTGGTCCTGAATGAGAAAGACAAAGTCATACACAATGAAAAAGCCCCATCCTGAAAAAATGTTGGTTATTACAGTGTCAGCAAAACTTCAAGGCCAGTTTAGACAGCGAGCCAGCCAACTTACTTCAACATGATGCAGTAATGAGGGAAGACAGGACAGAGTGCAAAGCAGATACAGGGGGATGCCAAAGCAGGAGGGGCACCACGCTAGCAGGCTAGGAGAGCTAACTGGAGCCATCACCAGTATTTAACTAAAGCCACTAAAAACAAAAGAGTAATGAGCAGATTTTTGAGTCTGGCAGAGGAACTGCACTGTGGACTAGCAGTAATGTGATGCCCACCACAAAGCATAAAGCCTGAAGCAGAAAACTGTAGTTGTATAACCAAAACTTACCAAGTTCATGGCCTATGGCAGAAAAGACACGGTATTAATTAACTTCAGTACATTCAAAATGAAAGCAGGTCACAGAATCACTGTTAGGCAATAATGGAAAACACCTTGCTCACTAGACATAACTGCTAGAAGTGACTAAGCTGCAAACCTACCTCATCCCACACAGCTAAGCTCAAACACATTCATCTTACATTAACAGTACAAGCTACATCCTATTAATCTGTGCCGTCTTAAAGCTGAGTGCTGACATTCATACCAGGAAATATACCGACCTGGAAATCTCCAAATGTTTATTAGAGAGCAGCAAATTAAATGCCTTTGGTGCAAAATGATGTCACAAACAGCCTTTATTACAGGGTACGGTAAAACCACAAGAAAAGTGCTATAACAGAAAAGATATAAAGAACTGAGGGAAATGTTCAAGAGCGAGAACGTGGAGATCAGAAGTGTATCAAAGGAGAAAACTGAAATTCACGGATGAGGAGCTCATTAAAAGCTCCTTGCTTGTTTGTGTGTATGTAGGTCTTCATGTGCATTACTACAGCCATGTACATGCTTAGGTCAACCATGCCAGCTACTGATTCTCATGCAATTCCAAGGCCACAAACCTCTTGAACTCTGTAAACAAATCAACAGTGTTGCCATGCATTCTAACATAAACGACAAATAATGATACACAAACACACAGTCAGAAAACCTGGCTTTTATACTGAGCAACGCCACACGACTTCAAATATCAACAGAAAGCAAATGAATGAGACCTTTAAAGCACACAAGCAACCAAAGAAAATGTCTGATGATATAACGAGTTTGCAAGGCCTGAGGCTGCCACGCCACATTCCCGCACCTATTAGATAACATTATCTCAGTAACGATATTACAATCATGTACCTAAGTCTTGGTAAGCTGGGTTTTTACTTCTCCATCAAGGTGTTCCAGTGGTCCTGTCTTAGATGTTAATATAGGAACTGTGGCATCACCACACCATTACATGGATATGTCATGCATTTAGGGATGGGGTCCAATAGCCGGATCCATTTCCACTCCAGATTTGTTAAGCTCTGACACTATTGAATCTCCTATCTAATAATTAATAGCATAGCAAACATATAATGCCAGGCGGCCATTTAAAAAGACAGACATGGCCAGTGGCAGATTCAATCAGCTGTAGATAATTAACATTAATTCCTTCTTGCTAAGATGAAAAGTTTGGCTGTTCTCTGTTTAATGTGCGCTCTGCAGCTGGTGTCTGTACTCAGCCAGAGATTGTTTGTGAAAAAACACATCCCTCTGTAATATCCCTGCACCAGGTGTTCCTGTAGTTCAGAGAAATAATCTTCTTTAAAAACAAACACACAAAAAACTGTTTAACCTAAGCAACGTATTGGTTCTAAATCGGGACCTTCAGTACTTGAAGAAAGTAGCTCTTGAAGTACAGTAGGTTACAGCTGTTAATCGACCATCTCATTTTCAAATTGTAGGTACAGATTGTGAAAACTGTGGTGTTTCTGCCTTCTCAGCCAAGAAAATGTGATTAAACATCTTTGAGTTGTAGTTATTTTAGCCCTTAGTTAAAAATATTGAAAGGTAAACCTCATAAGATTCCTGGGTTTGAAAGGATTCAGATAACTGGATTCAATACTGGATTTGAATTTGATAATAATGTCATTGATGCATTATCATGTAAATTTGTCTACAAATAATAAAAACAAAAAATATTTTTTTTTACTAAAAGTAGGAGAAAACGTTCAACTAGACTAATCTGACCAGTTAAAGTGCTTGTGGCGTCCACATATTCCAGGAGGTGCAGGTCAACTATGGCAGGACCTACAAGGCAGGTGATGCAACACCCTGACAGAGAAGTATGAACCTGCCATAAGGTTTGACAATAGACATCTCTGCTGGTTCAGTGGGTTAAGTTGGATCTGGGGACACATGCAGAGCGAAGCAGCTAGCATGGCAAAGGCAGTGAGCATGTGTACCTTCAGCTTAGACTGAATTTCACGAGACTTTCTCTTGGCCAAGACTTGCAGGTGACTAGAGACCTGAAGAAAGACAGGATAAAAGGAAAAAGAAAGGAAAAGAAAAGGAAAAGAAGTGGGGATGTAACTACAGAGAGAAGGGAGAGTTGACTCAGCGGGCACCCACCTTGATGCTCGCCTGGTATTCTCGTACCCTCTTACGTGCCAGAACCTGAATGTGACTAGACACCTAGACACACAGGATGATTTTTTTTTTGCAATTTTAAACAACCACAGTCCATTGATAATCACTTTCACAAGGTGCATGAGTAATTTACAGCAAAATAAAAAAAAATAAAAAAAACAAACACCAGGAGCTATAGGAGCTGCACCTGGCAAATCCCATTATATTAAACACATGTAAATACTGAAGTCTTCAATAACATCTTTGCATACCTGTTTGCGCGTGCGTGTCTTCCCTGTTCGCAGCTTGATATACCGAGCTATCAGCTCATTTCGACCTAGAATTGAGAAAGTAAAGGATGAGATCAGACAGGAGCATTTAAACACAAACATATTTTCTGCCATTATAATGGGGCTGGTACAACCTGCAAGGATTGGTGATCCATTTTAATAAGTTTGCTTTATTCACCCAATATACCATATTTTGGCCTTTATGTACCTCAGTGGCCGAGCGAACCAGGCCTTTATTTGGGATTGGCTTTTTATTTCTCATTCCCCTAGGTCCTCCTTTAGTATAAACTCAATAACTTCCTCCATGTTTTCCTGTCGTCTCAATAAACTCAGTATAATGCCCATTTCCACAGCACCAATTCCATCAGTCATGTCAGGTGTTCCACTTAACGCTTTTCCCCAAAAGTAACAATGAATGAAACTGTACACTCTCCATGTGATTTTCACATCAAAGGTCTAGTATCACTTCCTTTATAAGTAGGCTTTTAATCTGAAAAACAAACAAAATAAAAGATCAGGGAGTTTGGAATTTTGTTGACAGTAACTTAACATCCTTCAGGAGTACATAGAATTAATTCAAGTTTGAAAATGTTATTTCTGTTCAAAAAGAAGACAAACTCAAAGCAGCAGAGTGGTGAGCATGAAATGATTGTTGTTGTACTAATGAATTAGTGCTGTGTTACATTATACTGAATTTCTCATGTGAGTTTAGTAGGCTGAAGACCATCCTTTATTTGTTCATGCCGGCCTTGCCTGAGGCCATTATTTGAATACGAGCTTTTATATGAGAATTTATGGTAGTCAGCAGACACGCTGTACGTTGGGTGAGGAGACAGAGGTTCAACATTTTCCTAAAGAACACTGAACATCTTACTAACCACTCAGTTACCTCCCTGTTACAGCCTACCCTCAGTATGCACATTATAGTACACCTAGTTAGCAGCAAATGGTCCACACTTTTGCTGGTCCCCTTTTGTTGGCAAAACCCGCCAACAGTCTTGCGGCGTGTCGGCCCTATAATTTTTATGATGACCTAAAACTGGACCGAATCGTTGTTCAAAAACGTAATTGTGCAATTTTCTGGAGAAATGACCTCAGAGTAAGTTGTAACCACTCCTTCAACAGAAAATGATAGCCAAACTTTTAGACAAAATTTAATAATGCTCGATTCTGATGTAGGACACTGTTCACTGGCACACATCCAGAGCCAATCAAATGAATGTCCAAGGTTCCTGCCTTAGTTTTTCCCTGTGGTACATTCACAAATGAGGCCCACATGCTTTTAATTACACCACTCTCATATAACTACTGGTGCAACCAAGCTCATTTGTTCATTGAACCTAAAAGAGAGTGATGACAAGTGCTGTAATACTTTAACATGAAGCCAAACTTAATCAGAGCTTGATCTCAAATCTACTACAACAGCACAATACACAGCAGGCCAGACAGTCTCTATTTTGGTTTCAATCTTACAATGTTAATCTTCTTAAGTACAATCATAACAAACCTGGCAAGACCACGAGCCCTTCATGTTTTTCAGCCAAGGGGGTCACATTGACATTGAGGATTTAGAACTCGTCACATGTATGTTTAGGTTGCACTGGATTTGCAGTTCAAGCTTCGGTGTGAAGCAAAAAAAAAAAGAAAAAAAAGGAAAAAGAAAAAAAAAAGACGAAAATGATGAAGATACTTTTTCCATCCTCAGAACGCATTTGAAATGAAGCCAGGAAAATATGAAATTTTAATGTGATTGTACTTAGTATTAGTGTCTATAACACTAACGCACACACACTTACATGGACTGTCAAGCTTTCAATTACGTGGCTGTATGATATTCCCATTAAGGACAGCCTGTGTTAATTTCAAGTCAGATTTGGTCTTGCTTGCTGGCTGAGCTCCTAGGCAAACAGATGGACAACTGATGGGAATGGAGGGGGAAAAAAAAGAGAGGAGAGATCATCATATAGTTAACAGACTTCCAAAATGTGGTCACTGGAGACTGCCTGGTCAGCTCTTTCTTTCTCTGCCTCCCCTGGCTCCAAACCACACCTGATGACCCGTGTGTCTCTAATCGTAACCGGTGAGTAACTTTTGATTCACTCTGCTGCAAATGTCAGAAAACCTAAAGAGGAGTTAAAGATAAAAGGTGATTAAATGAAACCTGACATACTGATTCCACTGCTGCAATTAATTATTCACATATACACGTGAACTAACATCATCGACATCACCATCCTGCTTTCTGGGAAGTGGTGCGATGCTGTCGGGACTTAGGTCACATCAGGCTGAGTCACATCAGCTTTGTGAAGTTACCAGAACACAGAATTCCCCAAAATCAACAAAAGGGGCTGACTCAGACACAGCAGTCTGCTCCAATTCCCAAAACAGGACACATGCACTTTCCTGCAGCCTACCACTACACCACAAAAGGCCAAATGATTTTTCATCAGAATGCAAAACATTTGCTGTGCATCATCTAATTTACACCTAAACATGAGAACAGATCAGTAAGATAGGAAGATAGCAATCATGGAATTACATTGCAGGTAAAAAATTCAAAAACTCATGTAATTTTATATACATTTATCTGTTTCTCTCCTAAACTACCACATAGATGAAGCTTTTGCCCATTTGCTTCCTTATTGAAAGTAGAGATGAGATTTTCCTTAAAAAGGAGAGAGAAAAAGAAAGACAGTGGACAATGCAGAGCAGGCCAGTGAAAAAAATAAACAAACTCCAATTTATCTTTATTTGGTCATTATTCTAAAGAGGTTATATATACATAACTCCTAACATTTTATTAGTGACAAATATTTCATTTAGAAGCAGTGGAGTCTGATCTGCTCTCAGAAGGGTGAGCAGAGCCCATGCCAAATATGTATTTTTCAAAAGAATGAGCCTGTTTTTGTTCCAATTTGTATAAATTCTGTCTGTAAATGGGCAACTACCTCAAAAGAAAAGAAACTCAACTACATCCCCTAAAGTCTTAGTCTTAGGTTTTGCTCATCAAAGCCTCTATTTATCAAAAAGCTAGAAATAAAATTACTGACCTAAGTGGAGATTTACTCTTATGCAAACACAAGAATAAAAGCTACTCAGCAAATTTCTTTGGACTTGACTGAAAAATGCTATTAAATTTAAGAGAGCTCCAAAGGTTCAGAGTAGATCGTAGATGGCTGCAGTACAGACACAGAGGTGAGCAATATGTATGATTCAGAACAGCTTTGTTATGTTTGTATCCATTACAAACAATGTACCATTATTTCATCCCTATTTGTGTATTTATATATCAGAAATATATTAGATTTTATTTTTGTGCCAGGAAAAATTCACTCAGTAAAAGGCCAGGATTGTTTGACTGATCAGTAAAGCAGATGTGGGGTAAATCCTTCTTCTTCGTCTCTGATTAGGTCTTCCTGCTCAGAGTATTCATGTGTTGTCTACAACATGACATGACTTGACTCTTATACTTTGCTGCGAGTAGCATTAAGTTGCTTGATAAATGTGTGTTATTTTTCACAGAGGTAGAATTTTTTCAGTCCTCAGTTGGTTTTGTAGAGAACAGGTAAGTAAATATGGGCCCTGATAAGGTGTCATTTAAAAGAGGTGCGCACGTTAAGAAAATCTATGAAGTTTACTGCTATCCACCAAAATAGGCTTGTAGAAAATATGACCGTCCTGAAGCTTGAAGTTTTTTGGACAGTGTCGTTCCAACTCTGGTCATTTTTGAGGGACAAAAAAGGCATATTTGCCCCTCATCCATCTCCCACCACATATGTATGACGGGAAAAAATGCTTGCATCCTTTACAATTGAATTAAATCACACATAACAACACCACAAAGTCCTGAGACAGAAATGACCTAAGTGTTAAAACAAACCCTCTCTGACACAGTCTCAGTGGAATCTTACCAATTTGTTGAAGGAGTTTATACATGTTGATTAAACTGTGTCCTTGTTTTAACCAGTGTTACTAAAATATTATCATTAAAACAAGTAACCTTTGTTTTATGTGTGTCAACCTGTGAATGCAAGAGCAAGTGATCCATCTGCTGATCATCCTAATTTGGGAACACATGCTTGAAACCATAATCCAGGGTGACATCATGCTAGTAACATATGACCGAGAGCAAAGACAGCACTCAGACTGGGTTTAATGCTGACTGGCCTAGTTAAAGTGGGGAGGGTAGATTAAAGCTAAATCATGTGTTGAGGTAAATCTTATATACACGAGTAATAGTGATGCACGGCTCTGCTTTGACGTCACCCAAATCCGCATGTGTGCATGAATAATCCAACCGCCACCCACCTGACAAAATTCTTTTCCACGATTTAGAGCTATGTAGACCCGCACCACGATCACACATTACCATTATTTCTCAGTTGGATATCACACATGATGATATGGTAACACATTACGCTGAAGTAGGCTAGTTTTAAAGAAACAATCATTTCCATTTTTGGTAAAGTGAAAATGGCAACAGGTATTTCCATAATAGCCTGACATTTTTAAACTATTCAAACTAAAATTCTGAATGTCACTGTTACTTCCCGAACACAAAAGCTGATCGAAATAAATTTAAAAAAATCGTAACGAGTTCAGCAGTCTACACACAGAGTCTAATGTGTGCCTGATGAAAAATAAAACTTTAAATGGGTTAACCTTTTAGAGAATGCAAGAATGAAAGTAATATTTTCCTCATATATTAGTATAGTCTGGGATTTTGTTTATTGTACAATCCTTATATAGTTTAAATGTTGTCTTTTCCTGGTTTTGCTGCATGAAGTGATATATATTTCTGAAGTTGACTGTTCCAGCAAAGTGAAATAAGCTCTAACTGCTTGACTGCGATACCCATATTTATCCACATGAGCCACTTGCAGACACGCACTATAATCCATTAACTCACTGCCAACTTTTTGAGTTTGCTTCATGTTTGAGAAGGACTTCCATTCATTCATCTGTAAAAGATGCTCTGGCAAACTGCCAATAACATTTCTGTAACATCTGCCACCTGGATAAAAGCAGTTACCCTACTAAAGGGCACATACAAGATAAAAAGGTACATGTATAGTATACAGTAATTCAAATATTGCTATGGATGTCTGTACTCTGCTTGATAAACCTTGACTTCTTAGTAGATTTTATGATGTAGGCTGTGATTAATTGATGAAACAAATAGTTTAATTCTTTCATGCTGTTTTTCCATTCATTTTAATTTTATGAGATGTGAAATACAATTTTTTATTCATTCATAAAAGAAAACTAATAATTTACACAATTTCACAAATTTGGCAAAAAATCAAAAACAAAAAAGGGTTATTCAAAGTTTCTCACAATACTGTGCGAAGAGACAGTGACTCAAAAGTTTGGGGGTGTTGTCTTACATACTGGTTTGGAAAAGAGAAACTGGTGGGTTAACGGGAGCACGGGTATTATGTTCTAAGTGTGAGTGTCGCTTTCCAATGAGTGAATGTGTATACCAGTGGGACTATCCTTGTGTATTAGGAGGGAAGTGGGGGTGGTCAACACAGTGAGCCCACATTTCCACAAAAGGAGAAAATGCCGCAATGCTGAAACAAACTTTCCCTTTCTGTCGCATGGGATCACATATCCCGTTTCCCTCACAACAGACGCTCACACATACGCAAATACATGACACAGACTGCTGCAGGCAGGAATGCCAACTCTCAGCCAAAAAAAAAAATAAAAAAATGCTAGGAATGTTGGGCGCTAGCCAAGGCCTTCAATAAGCTAGGAAGAAGTGGTCAAAATATATCAAAGCTCTACTCAAAGACAGCATCCTGAAAAGATCCCACTAAAAACAAACAAAGGTCACATTGCATGAGTGAATGCACTACAGTGCTGGTTATGCATTCCCATTGACCGATATGAAACAGTCAGTTGGCAATTAATAAGCAATTAAGCAACATCTGCATATGTTAATCCTAACCTGACCTGAAATGTCAACCTGTTCTATCTATTGACCCCAGTGTGTGATCCCTCTCCCTCTGTCACTGCTGGCTGCCCTTTGACCTTTCCCCAAATTCCTGAAAGCAGATCACCTAGGTACAAAGAGCTCTTTACAAGAAGCATCAATAAGCCACTAGCTTCCAAAGTGCACGCAGCAGATCACTACAGGCCTTTGTGGTGGTTCCTTGGAGAGCCAAACAACATCAGGAATAAAGTTTCACTTTTATATCATTCTGCAAAATTTAAAGTTGATGAGTGTTTACAGATGGGATATAGGACTTTTTGTAATTTTGGCCATGATACTTATAAGTTATGTTTACTAAGCAGTGTCACTGTACATCTTGTTGAAACTTGGAACTTCACCTATCAAATGAACCTCATACAGGTTTAAAGTACAAAAAAAAATCTTTATTTAAATTATCATTATTCGCAGCACTACATCATTTAAAATTCACCGTCTAATCCCTATTGTATGTGTAAACTATGTTTTGTTTACAATGGCAAGTGGCTTTACTTCCTGTAGATTTCCTTACAAACATAATTGCCTAATAAAACACCTACAGTTGTGGTATATGTTGTTATTTCAGCGAGCAGGTTATTCCTGCAAACTGAACTGAAAATTATTTGGGATATTCTGCCCTATAGATGTAGTTATAAAGCTGTGTCTACAAGAGACCCTGTGCCCACAATTGAACTCTGAATTACTAATACTATATATATATATATATACACACACACACACACATATATATATAGAAATATTTTCTTAAAATTCTGCCATTGTGAGCGAATGATCTAAAATATTTGTGTTTGTTGTTCTGTGACGGACAATGTTTGATCAAAGCCCTTTAAAAAATGAGTGGTTGATATTATCTCCATATGTTGTTATTTTGAGTGTAAAGAACCTCAACAGGCATTTAACACATATGGACTCCAATTTTGGCCTTTGGATTAGATATGAAAGAACAAGACTAGATGCCGGAAGAGATAATAGGATGGTTGGATGACAACCAATATGTTGGGACAGAAATAGGTTGTGTTCCTCACCATACATCTTCCCTTCATCTGAAAGTATGATCTTCCTCCTGCCGCAGGGAGGGTAGATGGCCAGAGCTTCCTGAAAGCTCTGCTCAATGTCTGGACTCCACACTCCCTCAGGGTCGCCGTCCAATCCACGGTCTGCCCCATCGCCCAGTCCCTCTCCATTGCCACCCTCCTCCTGCGCCCCGTCAGGGCTGCCACGGCAACTCCACTCCGACGCAATGATGACGGCTCCAACCACAACACACCTTGAACACACAGGACAAAACTTTTCTAATAATTCTGTGGTGCTGTCAAATATTTTAGAGAGACATGCAACAACAGGTCGTGTATTTGATTTTTATATGATGACCATATGTCTCATTATATAATTATTTGCTTGGTGATTATTAATTGAAAGTAATAAATAATATGTTAAAAGAAAATAAGTGATAATCATCAATGTAAATTCCAATATGGAGCATCAACTAAAATAGAAATAAAGCTGTTATTTGCCTTCTTGTTCTGAACCCATGTTTCAAGACAGGCTTTCTTCCATATTAAAAAAGCATTAGACCAAAATATCTACCACAATGTGAGAGCAGAGCAGTATTTGTTTTGATAGTTGATGAATTTAGACAAAAAGGCATCGCAATCAGCAAGGTCAAAGAAATTAATGCAGCTGTCACCTGGGTGTTTTGAAAACACAGCCCAGCTTTAAATCATCTATTGAAGCAGCATATACAAACCCTAAAGTGTATAGTCTGTGAACTGGTAATAATAAACCAAAGGCTTTGAGGTTTGAGAAATTTGCTTTTTCTTAAACCCGCCAACTGCTGGAATGCACCAATACACACCACTACCCACAATAACGGGAAATAGAAATCTATTTTGTTTCTTAAATTTGTTAAAATATCAATCGGATTCCTGAAAAACCCTTTTTGTTATCCCTATGAAAATGTCAGTTTTAAACCAGACCTCTTAACTGACTGGACATCTTCTAAAATATATTATTCTGGAATGTGAGAAGTGGAGAACTGGGCTCTGAGCAGCACAGAACATGGGAGGATGTTAAACCAGTGTTGAATGTGTACAAGTGAGGGACAACATTAACGCTGCAGTGCAGTAGGAGACCTTGACGTAAGTACTAAGTACAAAATCTGTTCAATAAGGCAAAGTGCAAGGAGATCAGGTAAATAAGTGTTTCAAAAGTGTATAGTAAGTGCTAGTTAGACATATTAGGGAGTTAGTGGTGTTGGGAGAGGAGGTGCTGTAGGAAGAGATGACTTCAAGAGACTCTTGAAGATAGAGATGGACGCCTCTGCTCTGATAGCATTTGGTAGCTTGTACCACTATCGGGGAACCACAAACCAGAACACTCTGGACTTCGGTTGCCAGATGACATTCTTTGGAGGAACACAATCTGAGAGGGAGCATAAGCCTGTATGATTGTATCAGAGCTAGAGATGTTCCAATACTATTTTTTCCTTCCCGCTAACGATTCCGATTCTGAACTTGCATATCAGTCAGTACCAAGTACTGATCCGATGCCATTGTGTTAAAAAAAACTTTTTAGCAGCTGTTCTAGCCCTGTATGGATGTGATATGATTACTGCCATTGTAGTATGGCATGGCTTAGTAAACCCTTCATTGGAGGCATTTCAGATACTAGTATCGGAAGAACTCTAACACATGGACTGAAGTTACAAAATATGGTTTGATTTAAAACTAGAAGAAAAAAAATCATGGCAAAGTATTAGAGGCTGGAGAGGGGGACAAGGGGTAAAATGTTAGAACTGGCTTTGTTGTTGACGACGCCCACTAGGGGGTTGGGCAAAGTGACAATGTGTCCTACGTGACTAAACCTAAATTTGTCAACCTTCAGAGATTTTGCCATGCCACATACACCAGGGTAATGATCATTTTAATATCTCTGGGTGGATAAGGCAATTCTGGGTATTAATATTGCAAACCAATGAGCAGCACAGGTTTATGGCAATATTGTATTTTTATGATATTTGCACCAATGTGATGAAGAACTTTGATTTATTAGCTATTTAGTTTACTGGATGAGCTAAAGCCAAACACCTGTGTCTGGGTGTTTTCTTATCACCAGCTTCTCTCAACTGATTAATGTTAAAATATACCATCTATCAAAATCGTGATATAAAATAGCATATACTGTGAAACAGAGTGTTATATCTATATCCCTGATTCCCTGAGAACAACCAACAACTCCATTCCATCTGAAGATGGTGGTATGTAGTAGATGTTCAAAAAATTGTCAATTAATGTGTTTATCTATTAGTCAGTCAATTGGCAGCTACTCTACTAATCAATAAGTAGTTTCATGCATTTTTCAAGCTAAAATTGCCAAGCACTCTCTGTCTCTGCTTGCTCAAATGTGATGATTTTTCTTTGTCATATATAGCAGCAAATTGAATATCTTTGGGTTTTGGATTGATAGTTGGATAAAACACAGAATCTGATACTGCTACCCTGGTTGAGGGAAATTATACAAGGAAATTTTCACTATCTTCGAAAAAATTATCTGTAGATTTATCAATGATGAAAATAATTGTTACTCACAGCCCTCGTTTGTAACCACGCAAAGGAAATATTATTAATCAAACTTTACACATTCAATCTTACGAGCGTTATGTTGATCACAGGTTTAGAAACGGGCATTACTTCTATCATTATTAACAGTGGAGACCAAAATTTCTCAGAAACAAAAGAACATCACTGAATCCCACTAATGTGCTTATTTGTATATGCTCACCAATTAAAACAAATCTGTGAGTTATATGAAGGAGGACCAATGACAGGCATTTCATTAAAATCCAGAGTGGCCCTGAACTTTGTTTTACTAATCTACATCACATGGATTCTGATGGATAGACGGGACCGGGATTAACTTTGGGGCTGTTGGGAATGGTGACAGATTTCTTGGACTCCAAATGTCTCCACACTTAACTAAGAGCGAGATCAGATTCATCTGAAGTTGTTTACAGCTTCCATGAGTACAGGGTATATTAATAGCCCTGGCATCCAGGGTTAAAGACCTGACAAACAAAATGGAAAAACATTAAGAGGTTGTAAATTTATAAAGACACTGGCCAAGGTCAATGAAGGCACTTCCAGTTGGTCTAGCTATTAAGGTTACACCAGCAGATGGAAGATGATAGATGACAAATTGACTATAGTTAGGGATGGTGAGACTGGTTAATCATTTTCCCTAGCTAAGTGTCCTAGAGAAAAAAGCTCAAAATGCAACCATCGAGCCATATGAACTTCCCAGAAGCCCGCAACCTTGCCTGCCTAGGCCACATGAGGAAATTACACATTCTTTTGCTATTGTTGAAGATGCTCCAAGTCTCCTCAAAGACAGGCACACATATGCAACATGAGTGCTGCTTGGTGTGTAATGTTTTCCAGAGTGTGGCTAACATGGTCCCGGCCACAGGAGAACCACAGAGGATCAGTGTGGTCACTGAGCTTCCCCTGCTGTGGTGGGCTTATTGGACACACTCTGCACAGGGCCTTCCCAGTTTCAATCACTGCTGACGGGACTGTGCTGTTGCCATAGAGATTAGACGGGCCCTGGTGAGATGGTTAGGAAAGAGCAAAGCCTAAAAGAACATTTTGATATTCAAGGGGAGGAGATGTGTCAGCCTTCAAAGCACTGTGTGGGAAGTCAGCAACTCAGAAGATGTTGTCTGTGGGGCTGCCATGATTAGACACCGTAATCAACGACATTGACATAAATATTTTAAATCACATCATTTCCCATACATTGATTTTTTTGTGGCAGCCAGCCATTATATCAACATTAACCACCACAAATGTATATTCTATTTTATCATTTATGGTTGTGCTGCTTCTCTGCATGCTCCACACACACACACACACACACACACACACACACACACACACACACACACACACACACACACACACACACACACACACACACACACACACACACGGAGCAAACAGCAAAGCAGAGAGGCTGCAGTGGAAGCAGAACCAGGTGAAGTAAAGATAACTCAAGGATTATTCGAGCTGACAACTATTACTGTACTTTATGTTACTATAAGTGCAATATAAAGTAAAAGGCCAATAAGTACTAATAATAAAATAATAAAACCACCTGTTCAACACGCACCTAGAAAAGTTACATTTTCAACTGTTGCACAACCACAGTGTGCTGGTTAAGCTAATAGCGAATTGTTAGGACGAATCTTAAACGAAAGCTGTCTGTATGTGGTCTGACTGATCATCTTAGTTTTCCACAAATCTTAAAAGCTGACAAACCAGCTCCTCCTCTCTCTACTGGCCGAACCTGCAGGAAGTGAATTCCACCAACAGCAGAGGGAGGAGGACAGAAGACAGGAGGAAGGACTGATACTGACTGATGTCTGTTTTCTTCATTCTATCTAAACTTCACCCAGTGTTTTGATGTTAGATATATTATTTATTTTGCTGACATTTTAGATTTGTTTCCTGTGAGTTATTGAGTTTATAAATCAATTCTAATCCTGTACTGAATTTCTTCTTCTTTTTTTTTAAATGATAATCCAAAAAAAAAAAAGGATATGGATAAGATAAAGATGAAATCTACTCAGCTGGTTAATGGCTTGGCCCTGACTTTGGGAGGATGATCAAATCACAGTTCAAATCCCTTCATTAACAGTCAAGTGTTATTTTGTGATTATCATGTTTTAATGAGGCTCAGTGCAATCACTCACATAAATGTGAAGGATTACTTCATTTGTAAGTGTTGTCTATTCATTATAAGGGAGAGCTGTTTAATATATTTTGTCATTGTAGCTGCTGAACACTCACAAAGCCATAAAGCTTCCTTCTACCTTAGGGGGAGATACTAGATACTTTCGCCTCTTCAGCCCTCTAAACAGCTCAAACACTCTAAGATGGAAATACTCCAATTTGGCTGGACAACTTGAAGCTCATGTCCACCCAAGAGGTGCAATGATTAGTCAATTATTGATGAGTCAATCAATGGAGAATGAATAGAGAACTATTTCTATAATCAAATAATTGGTTTAGTCATTGTTTAAGCAAAGAAATGCCAATGCTGTTTCTCAAATGTAAGGATTTGATGCTTTCCTTTCTCCTACATGATAGTAAGCTGAATATTATTGGATTTTAGACAGTTGGTCAGACAAAACAAAAAATATGAACATGTCACCTTTGTATGAGGAAAATCATAATATTTTTCTTTACTATTTTCTAGCATTTTATAGACAAATCAATTAATCAGATAAAAACTATTAGTCAATTATGAAAATAATCATTAGTTGCAAACCTAGTTCGCACCAAGAGCCATAATCTGGAATTGTTGGGTCATACTGTGGGTATTTGCTTGTAATTTAGGGTGTTACAAGCCAAAAACATTGTAGAATTGTTCATTGTATTGGACTAAATTGCATTGTATGGGTGTTCCCAATAACGTGGCCGGGAAGTGCATATCAAGGCTGAGTGTAAGGTTACTGCTGAGCAATTTGGTTAGGGTTTGGGAAATCATGAGTTGCATGAACTGAGGCGTCACAGTCACAGCTTTGTCATTGAGGAGACTTATGGTAAATGTTAAAGTTAGTACATAATTCACTTAAGTCAGATGCGGCGGTGCCATTTTCAACATAGCCCCCAGTGGCCAAAAGGTCAGGTGTTTAGTGCAGTGAGGAGTCGGTAGAGCTTTGAGCTAAATAAAGGTATGAGCTCAGCAAACACTGACAAGACACATGCACTGCCTTCTGCTCCAATGAGGACAGCAGTGACACTGTGATTAACCAAGCTTGATTTCATCACGGTACTTTCAGATTTCACCCTGCATTTGAATACTACTACCGTCACTGAAGAGCGTTGTAGATTTCGGACAGCAAAGCTAGAAAGCGCTAAGCACTTACATTAACTTAACGTGGACATAAAGGTCGCCTCTCGGAGTAATTGTGTTTTGGAGGGGGAACAAAGGTGTTATTTATTCATTCCTTCTCTGACCTCTGTTGAACCCGTAAAACCAGTCTCACATGCTGGTGAAACTTTCACAATATCAAGAAATGAATCCCATCTGCTAGCACGTAGAGGGAAAAATGAAATCACATTCAACGGTTGGGAGTCGTTTAGCCAACTGTGAGTTGGCAAAATCTTTCCTTTGATCCCCGGTGGAAACAAAATCTTCCATCTAACTGGGCCTGTAGTTGTAAAAACTCTGTACAAAGACTTTGAAGTGTAAGGAGAAATGCTATTTTCTGTCCTTTGGCGGATATGTTACAGACAGGTCAGCGCTAACACACTCGAGCTGACATGCTAGTTGGTTAGCTTGCGGGCTAATAATACCTAAGAAAAACTCCAAAGTAAGTCCGAGAGACGCCGATAAAGTCACTTCAATTACAGCACGAGTGACTGAGTAAATAAAAGAGGAACTCCCCGCTAAACACACGAGGCTCTGATTCAGCAAAGCGGCAGCGGGAAAATGCGAAATATGTCAAAAATCCCAAAACTTCGAGCGCACACGAAGCGAAGCAGCTGCT